ACACAAACATTCCCCCAATAACGCCTTTAAAAACACAACTGCAGCAAGGGAATCTAAGAACAGTGCGAGAATCATCATTCATGTAAACCAGCACAACAACCCACAGACAAACCATCAGTTCTATTTTCAAAGACACAACCACAAGATTTTACATGAAATAACAAGGCACGAGTTCATAAACCAGTCATTGTGACGGGACCCTAGATGACGAATCAGGCCTGCTGCGGTCCATCAAATCCGACCCAAGAGTCCACGGCAATGGCCCCGTTCGACAACCACGGCGCACCGCCCCCGGTGCCCATGAGGAAATCGCTCGAGAGCCCTGCGAACGCGGGGTCGTCCATCAGCTCCAGAGGCGGGGTGATGGTGGCGGGATCGCCGAAGTCGGCGGGACCGAAGATCATCCCCGCGGGCAGTTTGGGCAGTGGAGTCAAGAAGCCGGAGAAGGGATCGGTGGTGGGCGGGACCACCGACCCTGACCGTGAGTGGCCCAGACCCGCCGCGGGAGGCGCCACGGTGGTCGGCGGCGCAACCACCGAGTCGGCCGAGCTCTGGCTGGGAGGCGTGAGCTGCGACCATCCGCGGGGAGTGGAGCTCGTCCTGAACTGTTCCCAGGCGGCTTGCACGGTGTTGGCGACCGGGCCAAAGGACTGTCCCAGCTTCTCCAGGGTGCGCAGCGCCGTCGGCAGGATCTTGCGTGCCGCTGGCGTCGGCGGACACACCGGATTCGCCAACACAAATGAAAGAATGCAGATGGTCGCGTCCCACTGGTACTGGAACGCTGCGGTCCAGCCACACAACAGGTCGGTCTCGGAAAGAACTTGGTTGAGAATCAGCGTCACCACGACCGCGTGATTCAGCGCTGCGATGCTGTGACTATCTGACAGCGGGGTGAGGGAGGCGCCCCGGGGCGGAAAGCGAATGAAGGGACGAAAATTGGCCATCTGGAGGTGATGATAGATTACTTCCAACAGCAGCCGCTGACGCTGCAGCCAGAGCGGGCTAGCCGGGTTCAGATTTAGCGGCGTGCGGTCGGTGCAGAATGCTTCTCCCGAGCCCTTGCGTGGGTTCTTGAGCGATCGTGGCACATTCTGTCCCCACTCATACATCACCCGAATTTTGTCCCCCAGGAATCCGGCGAGCGACTCCATGGTGGCTGGATCTTCGTGGATATCTTGGATCTTCTTAGCCTGCAGCAATTCAGTACAGCGCGCGCTGAACGCCGTGTAGATTCCGCGCGCCGCGGCCGTCAGCCGGATGTACTGCACATGGAAGCTTAGCCAGCTAATGTCTTCGTCCGGCGGCGATACCAACACCGTGGCCGATAGCTGTACCGCGTCACTTGAATCCTGTGGCATCGCGCAGCCCACCTCAGCGGGGTCAATGAGGGGTCGTCGACCCAGCGTCATCGAGATTTGGCTATCGAGCTGGTACAACGTCCACCAGATCCGGGAATGCAGCTCTTGCGAGGCCTTGGGGGTTGACTCCAGGGGTCGGATGTTGATGCGCAAGATATGTGCCGCTCTGATCGCCAGACCGAGCAGAGCATGGGCGGTGTCCAGGTTCGCGGTGTTGTAGAGATAGATGATGCAGTAGATGTGGCTCTGCAACGATCGGATCGACGGATGCTCGAGATTTTCCATCAATACGCGTTGACTCCGACGATAAAAGGCATGCGCAGCAGTGGTGAAGTGACTGGTCTGCGACGCCGTCTCCCCGTCCGCCATCACCTCATCATCGGCCAAGAAAGTGCTGCCATATTGCATGCACACAGCCAACAGGCTATCCACGAGCGCAGAGGGCTGTCGGGGGCTTTGACCATTGCTTCCTGCCCAGAGGGAGTCATAGTATTGTCGAAACTCCTCCTCTGCCACGATGGGATACATCCAGTGGTACGCCTGCCAGAGCAGAACCAGGAAATGTTCTTCTTGCTCGCGAGACAGGTCCTCGACCTCCGCCAGTCCCAGACGAAGACTGGGTCGCTCGGCCTCGTCCGACAATTGCTCCAATGACACTGTCGGGGAATGGCGATGGATCTGAGACAGTCGGACGGGGAGCGGCGATTTGAGGTGGAGCTGGTTGGCCGACTCGGACATGAACCGATTCAGGCGCAAGACCAGGTAAGGCGCGGAGAGCGGCCCGTAGTGAATCACGCCACCAGTCTGGGACCCTTGGCTATAGACACCGTCCCATGTTTGACGATGTGAAGTCGGAAGCTCTGCGGGAGTGGCGTGACCCGAGGTAGCACAATTCGAGGCAGTAGGAGATTGGCGACGGAGAGTTTTCGCTTCGTGGGTAGCCTTTTCTAGTTGCTCTTGTAGATCTTTAAGCCGGTTTCGTAATCGATGAATCTCCCTTTATCAAGCAATTTGCCATCAGTCTCATAGGTAATGGTGCCAAGCTAGAACTCCAGTAAAGTATGGTAAGGGTGGGTCTTACCGGTTCGCGGCAGGCAGGGAATGAGCTTCGAACTGCTTGGTGTTACTGCAGTAGCCGCCATGGTTGCGGCAGTTCTGGCAGGGTTGTTTATCGTCGCATTTGATGCGGTTGACGCGACACCAGTCACAGGCACGCACCACCTGGTTCCGTTTGGGACGGGGAGCGGCGGCGGGCTGTTGCTCCGCGGGGCGATCGGTGGAGTTGAGGTTGGCGGAGAAGGTGGAGAACATGGCTTTTAGAGATAGGAGGAGATGATCCGGGCGAGAACAGATGTGGATATCAAAGATTGCGAAATCATTCGAGGTTCTTTCCAGCCCCAGAATCGGACGAGATCAATTCAAAGCCAGAGAGGGAAAGAAAATAAGAAAAGATGAGTGTGGGAGAGGGGGAGGGGTTGGAGCTGAAGCGGTAAGTAAGGAATGAGAGAGAGAGAGAAAAGAGAGAGAAAGTGACAGGAGAAGGCAGAAAGCGTAAGCAGAGTCATGTGATGTCACCATCCGATTCCGTACCATATCGTCCCTACCTAGTAGTAAGTTACCTAGCACTAGAGTGATAACTAAAAAGTACTGAAAACTAACTCACTAGTCACTGCTAACTTTAGCGAGTTCCCAAGAAAACTGTTCTCGAGAATCTACCCGAAATTTATATTACTCCGTACAATTCAACCCACCCCCACCAGATCAAGCCGGCAAACACCGCTTGGCAGGCCAGGCTTGACTGAACAAGCCTGCTCTACGATCAGCTTCCAAGCCTCACCCATGCATTCTCGCTTATCCCATCCTATTGAGACTGGACGACATGCTCCTTGCGGTAATAAGCCATTCCTTCTGCCTGTCGATTCGGCTTAGTTTCGGCTTACACTTGCTATCGCGCCGAGGGTTTGCCTGCCTGAGTAAGATGGAGCCGCATAGAGTTTGAGACAATTTGGCAGCATGGATGCTTATCCCGGCTCGCACGGATCCCCTCTGGTGCCTCTGGCTATCTTTTCTTTTTTTTTTTTTTTTCTTCTTAACCATCAGCCATGAAGAAAATTTAAAGATAGCCAAGCGGCCAGCCAGCGAGCCGAAGTCAACCACTCAGGGACCAGGCTGAGGCGGCAGATCCCGACCTCCTATCGCAATTCCCGAGCATGGATGGAGCCTGAAGGTATAGTGCTGTACCTAAGTTAGTACTCGTACTCGTAAGGACACCCTGTTGGACCAACTACACGTAAGTAGCCAATTCTTTGTACAACCATATGCACGCCTTATGAGGGATCCCTATGCCCGGAAGGTCGTACACAAAGTCACCAGCACGGATGCTGAGACAAAGCTTGGCGCGCGCGTGCGCCTCGTACCGTACCGGAGCCAAGTGCAAATCGATCTCCCACCCTTCGAGATTGAGATTGTCGCCGCCCCGTTCATGATGCTTCTGTTTAACCCGGTTCTCTCCTCGCAATATGCCAAGACATGGTATTATCAAGGTACTGTCATATTGAGGCCCTGAAGGTATGCAGGATGGGGGCAGGGGGACAGACAGAAATGGTTCAGGACGATCCCGGAAGGGTAATTGGCATGCCATCTCCGATTCCGTGAATCAGGCCGACGACGACGACCCCTCACCTCACAGGATTCCACCCCATGACAGACAAGACAAGAAGACACAACGTGCCTTGCCCTTCCAACAACACATGGCACATGGCACTGATTCCTTCCATTCCTTAGTGTCGGCGGTTGTGAAACCGATCGGCCGACTTTCTTTTTTTTTTTTTTTTTGGTTCTTGTTTTCTGGTTCATTTTCTGTATCTTTTTTTGTCTGTCTTCTTCTGTTATCTTCGTGGTGGATTGGAAAGGATGATTGAGCTGCAGGAGAGAGGAGGGGAAGCTGTCTAATTGCATAAGATATATGCACTCTCAAGACTTCAAGAGTGGTGAGTGGTGCGATAGATGAAATCGAAGGCCTGGGTCCTTCTTCCATTCGCTTAGACCAATGCGGCTGGGAACGCAAGGCCAATCCTCAGGCAGCGATAGAGAGCGTGTGATGGTGGGTGAGATTTGATTATGTCTGCTGGCTGAGTTGGAGGGGTCCGGATACGGGTGGTGAGGAAGTTCCGTACGGAGCAGATCATCTACCCCAAACCGTTAGACCACAAGCCAGAAAGAAGACTAGCTTGACACAGCCAATTGTGCAAGGGATGAAGGGTCCAGCAGGGTCCTGGCCCCCTATCGGCACTTCCATACCCATACTCACTCTATATCTCCATCTTCTGGAGACGGAGGGGAAGAGTCTCGCGTGGCTTGACTTGGATAGGAAGGAGGGGACACCTCGAGGATATCCACCTTGTGTTATTTTCTCGCTGATACGGAAACATTACTCCGTTCATACCGGGTGTCATGCAGGAGCAAGCAAGCTATCCCCAGACTAGAGACCAAAAGCGTTAGCACGGGAAACAGAGGATGACTTGGCAGCGTCTCCCGGGGAGGAAAACAAAGAGAGTGCGACTTACTTAGCGTAGGATCATTTACAGATCTCGATCCTCTCCGTGAGGAATTGTTTTCTCCTCCCCTCTCCCCTCCCCGGTCGCCTCCCCCTCCCCCTCTCCCCCCCATCTTCCGCTCCCCCGAAAGTGAAGTTACTTTAAGCTATTCTCTGAGATACAGGCTACATGACATATCAGAAGGGTCTGGAAGCGAGCTGTCACTAATTTGGACTTTTGATTCTTTGGGCTGGAACTGCCGGAGCGGGCCGGTAGATCTTTGTACCGATACATACAAGCACACAAAGCTGGGTTTACAATGACTAATGCCAAGCGACAGACAAACAAACCCTGATGATACTCCTCCGATCCCTGACTCAGAATGAACCATAAGATGACAATTAAAAGCGCAGAAATTTGAGAAAATGAGGCGGCATGGAAAAGAAAAAGACCAAGAAATCGGCAATGCATACTCTAAGCCACATATTATCTCCCCCCTCTCAACGGCGTCGACGCACACGCGTCAGATAGGTGATCACCAACACCATGGTGAAATTAAAAGCAATAAAGCCGATGAAAACACCCACATTCCGGCCCCGGTGGCTATAACTGTAGTCATATTGCGTGTACTATAAGAAGAGTTTGTTCGTCAGCCAATCAATTCCTCTCCGAACCCGACTCCACCCCATGTGGGTAGCTTGCTTCATGCAGGGCGGGGGCAGGTGGAACTCACGTAAGCTTGGCCGTTTTTGTACGGACAGTATTCGCAGTTGGCCGTGCTGTTCGGGTTGACGAGGAAGCCCGTGGCATCTTGCAAGAAGGCAGCAGCATATTCGTAGCAGCTCTTGCCGGTTGGTGGCTGGAACACGGACATCTCCGACTTCGCGCAGTGGAGGGGTAGATCGTGCAGAACATCCACCACCACGCCTTCGTTCATGTAGAACAGGGGCGAAACCTTGTAGTACCAACGCCATCCAGCGGGTGTGACTGGCGCCGGTGACAGGGTGCCCGCGAAGGTGTTACAGAACATGAAGAAAAACCCGTTTGCCGAGAGCGCGGCTTCCACGGTGGGCATCAGCGAGGCGCACAGTTGGGCCAGACTGGTCGCGAAGACAGAGAACAATTGGTACATCAGAAAGCTGTAGCCGGCATGGTTGGAGTCGCGGAAGTATCCCACTGGGAAATACCACAATAGCCAATACACGAGGGAGGTGCAGAAGGCGTACGGCAGTTCCACCAGGATGGCGGAAAGGCTGAACGCCATCCAGTGGTAGGTCAGACTCTCACGTTCACGGTGCTCGAAGATATTCCGCAATGTGACGAACCGCGGCTGCACCTGCAGACCCAAGGGAGGGCCGACAATCAAGGACATGAACGAGGAGAAGACGCGGTTGTAAGCGCCCCGTTGAGTCAGTGGTGAGTTGAGGTAGGTCATTCCGTTGAGCAACGCATTACCCGCATTTAACCACAATTTAGCCTGAGCATAGTCTGGCGCCCGCCAGTAGTACAGCCATGTTCGCTTGAGCAAGACGACCATCTGGTAATGGAAGGGTGCGGCGTGCAAGGACATGGACGAATCACTCTTTGGCGAGGCAGGTGCAATCTGGGTGTTGGAGGGTTGGCCATGGCTTTGCTTCCATATCTCTGCCCAATCAGTCTGAACATCCCGTCGTGTGCCGGCGCCGATCACCTCGAGAAAGTATTCGGCGGGGTTCTCTCGCTCACGGCACGGGCGAGCATGTTGCGCAAAGTAAGCGAGAGCCTGCTGGCATTCCACACCCAGCGGCCCATCGTACACAACCCGTCCACCACGTGCCAACAGGTAGAGCTCGTCAAACGTTGAGATCAATTCCGCGGCGGGTTGGTGGATAGTGCAGATGATTGCCTGGCCAGAGTCCGCGAGTCTTCGCAAGAGACGGACAATGGAGTAAGCTGACTGCCCATCAAGGCCGGAAGTGGGCTCGTCCAGGAATAGAATGTCCGGCTTTGCAGCCATTTCCACACCGATACTGACCCTCTTGCGCTGTTCCAGATTGAGACCGGCTCCCGGCGTTCCGACCAAAGCATCCGCAATTGATTCCATGTCTAGCGACCGAATGACTTCTTCAACATAGGCGTCCTTCTCATCGAGGGAAACGTCTTGCGATCGGCGAAGGCGGGCCGTCATTTGCAATGCTTCTCGTACACTTTGCGTAGGCAAGTGAATATCCTGCTGTTGTACATAGCCCATGTGGCGGTTGAAAGACTTGGGAAGCAGTTGTCCGTTCAGCGCCAGTGTTCCAGTAAGGGCTCCCACTTTTGAGCGGCCCGCCAGCGCGTTCAGCAGAGTAGTCTTGCCCGCTCCGGATACACCCATCAATGCTTTCAGCTGACCACTATACACAGATCCGTTTAAATTGTCGAGCAGGCGTTTCTGACCGTCCTTGGTTTTCACATCGAGGTTTAGCCCAGTCCAGGTCAGGCTGCGAGGCTGATACTCCAGTGTTGCGCTTCGCTCACGTGTGCTTGCTTTGCCCGGCTCTGGCGGAACATCCAGATCCAGATCTCCGCTTTCTTGATCACTCATCTTCGCTCCAGGTTGTGGAGCAGACGACTTCTTAGATCCCATGCCACGATAGAATACAGTCGCTAAGCGGCCAGCTGGTTGCTTTAGACGCTCCATACCAATGCTGTGAGCCTTTCATCAGCATGTTTCTGCAAAGATGGGGCGAAAAAGGTTAACGCCAGGAATGGGAGACGTACGCTGAGGCCAGACCAAAGGCAATGAAGAAAGCTGCGTTAATTCCCAGATTGCGCCACAGGTTACTTCTTTCGAACCCGTACTGTGCCTTAATGTATGCCATTCCTGACAGCATTCGTTGACCTGGCTCCGATCCCACTACTGCGCATACCTGGTTGGCAATGCTGGTATACCCAGGTCCGGACGGAACAAGATCTGCGGTGCTACACTCGTAGCTCAGGTTGCCAAACTCGTTGATCATGACCGATTCGAAACCATAATGCAGGGGCTGTTCGTTGGGGTTAGCATGTGACTTTGTTATTTTATGGGGCGAACTCACATTCAGATATCTCAGCCAGCCGAGCCATACTTGCATCTGCGGTGGTGGCACATATAGACCTGTGTACAGGACGTACATGTTGAAGAAGATACCGACCGGTAGAACAGCGCGGTACATGTTGGAAGAATACACGGCGACCGAGCGGAAGAACATGGACAAAGCCAAGTGCTCGATGTATACCACGATGAACCAGGTAAAGAACTTGCCGGCGTTCATTTGGAAACCAGTCAAGAAATACAGGGGAATATTCCAAAAGATAACGAAGATCTTCCAGACAATATCCGTCATGATCAATCCAAAGCCGTAAGCCATGGGCCGATATAGCCGGTATCGCTTGTGCTTCAGAATCAGCGGTCGTTGGGCGAATGTACTGCGGAATTCCGCCATAGCCTGCAGTGCGGGCACGAGTACTGAGTAGAAGAGGGCGGACGCGAAGATGAAGAAAGATCCCGTGCTGCGTTGCTGATTTCGAAACAATGTTCCCAGAATCAAGCTTTGGACAACGATACACAGGGCTTCCACAACCAAAGAGTTATAGTTGTGTTGAATGATGCGAACCTGGCGCGTGGTACAGTACGCAATTTGCTGGTAAAGTGGCAAAGCGTATTGCGCCGATTTCGAAGGACGGGCCACTGCAGGAAGAGACTTCGCAGCCTGGACGGCTGACTTAAGCTCGTCAAAGTGAACACTACGTCGAAACTCTTGCTGGAACTCGTCGGGTGTGCGGGGGACCTGGTTCTGATGAGCTTCGTGTACACGGCGAACCTCTGGACTGGCGGACATGGAGTTCAAAAAGTCGGTGGTGGTGGTAGCAGATGAGCATTCGAAGCCCAGACTCAGGAAGTACGACTTGGCATCTTGGATGGAGCCATAGAAGATCTGACGTCCGGCATTGATCACAACAACCTTGTCGAAGTATGGAACAATAGCATCACTGCCTTGATACACGCTCATGGCTGTCACGCACTGACTCTGGTGGGTCCATTCCCGCATCATCTCTATGAACTCAAGCGCTGTCGAGGAGTCCAGGCCATTGGTCGGGTTGTCCAAGCAAATCAGCCTGTATGACAGATCCGTGGTTAAGACTTCTCGTCTCCAGTATGAGGGATATATAACTGACCTTGCACATGTGGCGAGCGCCTCAGCCAACGAGACACGGCGTCTCTCACCTCCACTGACACCTCTGATATAAGCGTCTCCAACCTTTGTGTTCAGAACATGACCGAGTCCAATCAATTGCGCCAGCTGCGTCACTCTCTCGTCAATCTCTGAAGAGGAGGGCTTAGGGCCACACCGCGCCCGCATTGCAAAACGCAGTGTTTCGAAGACGGTCAGCGTCGGGAAGTGGTCATCAGACTCGCCTACGTCTCGTTAGCTGGCTGCGTTTCCCGACCATGACAGATCCTAGGACTTCCAAAGACTTACCACAGAACACAACATCCTGTGGATCCTTATCAATGACATCTTCCATAGGCTGACCTCCGAAGGTCAAGGTTCCCTGGACGCCCTTGTACTCATTCCACATGCCAGCCAGGGTCTTCAAGAACGTGGTACAACCACTGCCCGGCTTTCCAATGACCAAGACCATCTCGCCCGGCTGGATTGCAGCGGAGAAATCACGAAGGATGGGCCGTGATGACGGTCGATGCAGGCGACTTTGGATGGGCTCCAACAGGCCGAAGCCACCTTTTGCCGCTGTGAGGACGCTTGGCGCCGGCAGAGCCTGTCGTGAAACTGTGTCAGTGCTTCCACCGAAGGGAGATGATGAAGGATAGATCGTCACTTACCCCCGTACCACTCCCTTCGACTGTTACGTTCTCCATGACGATTCTAGCCGAGTGCAGTGCGTTCCCGTCGCTATTGCGCAGGGAAAGAAACCGCTTCACGCTCTGGGCAATGGGTTCAACAGTCACACTGTTGGATGAGTCCGATAAGGGGCCATCATGCAGAGCGATCCGCTCCTTATCCGGCAGAGACTCTGCGTTGACCGGCGTCATCACACCACTCCCGCTGGAGTCCTGCTGCAAGGTATCTGTTGCTTGATACTTCTCCATTGGTGCTGTGGATATTGCAATCTCGCCGTCCAATGCACCAAGAGAGCTCCAAGAAAGCTTGGCTGAGACAGAAGTACCAGAGCCACCATGGTGAGAAAGCGTACCGATGAACTTATATCTCTGGATGGTTGTAGAGGGAGTGTTGCAACCAGCTCAGTTGACGACATAGAATGAATACTGGATTGGGAAGCGGGAAGACTCCATCATGGACTTCCTAAAGGAGTTTCGGAAGTGTGGCCTGATTGGGATTAGTGGGAAGGTCCCCGGTGGTTAGTCAGCAAAGCTTGAGTGAGGGCCCACTTGGCCCGATTCGGCTGTCCCTAAGGAGAAAACAGCTTATTTACTCCTGGAGGGAAGAATCGCTTCTCCAGACATTCCATTGAGATGCTCCGGTCTCCGATGTAGATATACTCGGGTGGAGCCTAGACCTTGGTCGTGCATGCTCCTAGCATCTTAACGATTTAGACTAATTCACTTAGCTCGCAGGCTTACTCCCGTGACGATACTAGTAGGACTTTGTCAAGTCTAGTATATATCCAGCCTCTTTCCCCTCTCATCCAACCCGAACAACCCATATCCCCTCCAATTTCCCTTTTTCTCCTTTTTCTCTCCCTCACAACACCACTCTTTTTTCGTCACAATGCCTCTCGAAACCGGTCTCCAAGGTGCCCATGTCCTCATTACTGGAGGTACGCGAGGCATGGGCCAAGCCATGGTGCGCCAATTCCTCCAGGAAGGCGCGGACGTCTCCTACTGCGCCCGCACAGTCACCAACACCGAGTTCAACGACGTCCACCAAACCCTCCCGGAGAGCAACTCTGCCCGCGCAGTGGGGACCGCCTTCGATGTCTCCTCCAAGGAAGCGATTGTAAATTGGGTGAACAGTTCCGCTGAACGCGTGGGACGGATCGATGTCATTATCGCCAATGGTTTGTCTTCTCCCCTTCTTTTTCCAAATGACCCCCCCCCCAAACCACTGTCCGTGCTGATCCCACCATCCGCAGCATCACCCATGCACATTGAAGGCGAGACTGAGCACTGGGAGAGCAGCTTCGCGATCGACGTGATGGGCTTCGTGGAGCTGGTGAAGGCGGCCGAGCCCTACCTGGAGAAATCCCCGCAGGCCTCCATCATCGTGCAGAGCTCGTTCATGGGCCGTGAGTTCTACCGCAGTCCGCCCGCGGCCTACGGGCCCTGCAAGGCTGCTCAGCTGCAGCATGTGCAGGAGCTGTCGCACTACCTGGGTCCCAAGGGCATCCGGGTCAACGCCATCTCGCCGGGCCCCGTGCTCTGCGAGGGCGGGCCCTGGGAGCTGTATTCGAAGACCATGCCGGAGTGGGTGGAGGAGCAGCGGTTGAAGATCCCCCTGAAGCGGCTGGGAGGTCCGCAGGAGATCGCAAATGTGGCGGTGTTTTTGGCGAGTCCGTTGGCCAGCTTTGTCACGGGTACGAATGTTTTGGTAGATGGTGGGATTCACGTGGGCACCCAGTTTTAGACTTTTGAGAGTAGGAAATTACATCGACAGAAATTTGAAGATCAGAATAGATTTTGTCGGGCAATGAATGGTGGTCTGTGTAGTGTAAACGAGTATTTCACACCAAGATTGTGAATCAGGTCAACGTGAGTACCCAGTCAAGATCTGCCGCATACAAGATGCCCAACCATAGTTTTGATCTTCACGAAAAGCAACGTGGGATGAATCAATAGCTCTCCTAGCGTGATGAGAGCTATTTCAGCTTCACGACTGGGACATTAGTGCATACGTGGTAGGTCAGGGATTAGATTAATAGATGCATGGGATGCCATGAACTGGGGGAAACCATGTGCTTGCCATGTGCGATTAATCCCAGCCCGATCCCACGTGGTAACGCTGTGCAATTTACACCCATGCAACACAGAACCTCTTCTCCCCCTAACATATGGCATAATTCTGCACAGCCTTATTCTTTCCATGGAAAGAAAAACTTCTACTTTCTTCTACAAACCTTCTTCCTAGACTCTCGACAACCCACACTTGCAGCAAGGCAGCCACCTCGTGTACAAAAGCCTACTATTCCGTATTCGCTCCAGAAGATGCTTACTCCGAGTCCCCGAAGTCATCCACTTCCCCTTAGGGCAAATTCGAAGGATTTCGTTTCATGCACAAGGCTTCTTGGCCCACAGCAGCTCCTTCTGGAAGACACGCGTGTTCAGTTTCAGTTTCTGGGTTCTAAGATGGAGCCTCGGAACAGGTTCCTACCGTCTTCATTGTGTATATATGCCTCTTACTTTCCAGGTTAAGTGCAGACACAGTCACTCAATCAACACTTCAACGAGCCGCAAAGACAGCAAAATGGTGCTCACGACATTCTTGCTCTCTCTCCTGCTTGGCACAGCTGCAGCCGAGCAAAGCAATACCACATCCCCCCAGTGTCGATGCATGCCCAGCGACCCCTGCTGGCCGACCACAAGTGAATGGTCTCAATTCAACTCGACTGTCGGCGGGCGACTCATCAAGACGGTACCTCTGGCCGCGCCGTGTTTTGACCCCAACTACAATGCCACCGAGTGTCAGTATCTGCGGGACGAGTGGACGCAGCCCGCGTTGCAGTAAGTCTATCCGTCTTTGCTCTGCCTTGACCAAGCTCGCTGACAGACACCTCGCCAGTGATGCTTCTTCCTCGTCAATCATGGCTGCGGCCGTGGCCAACGAGAGCTGCGACCCTTTCGCAGCAGCCACCGGAACTTGTGATCTGGGAAACATGGTATCCTATGCCGTGAACGTCTCGTCGCCCGCAGAGATTGCCCAGACCATAGCCTATGCCGCCGAGAAGAATATTCGACTTGTCATTCGCAACACTGGACATGAGTATGTCCCCCTCCCTCTCCCTTCCCAAACACAGTGTATCATACCAAACCAATCAACTAACACCCACCCAGCTACATGGGCAAATCCACCGGCGCAGGTGGCCTCTCGATCTGGACACACCACCTCAAGAACATCACCGTGCACGAATACTCCTCCTCTCACTACACAGGACCCGCCGTCACGATCGGCGCCGGCGTACAAGGGGAGGAAGTCTACGCGGCCTTACACAAATCAAACCTGGTAGTCGTCGGGGGCGAATGCGCCACCGTAGGACCCGCCGGGGGCTACACCCAGGGCGGGGGCCACTCAGCCCTAAGCAGCCGATACGGGCTGGCTGCCGACCAGACGCTGGAGTGGGAGGTGGTTGATGGACAAGGGAGACAACTACGTGCCTCGCCGACCGAGAACCCAGACCTCTACTGGGCGCTCAGCGGCGGCGGGGGCGGGACGTACGGGGTGGTCACCTCGATGACGGTCAAGGTGTTCCCAGACTTCCCGACGGTGGGGGTGGTCCTCGAGTTCGCGGCGGACGCGAGCGATCAGGACCCCTTCTACCAAGCGGTGGAGTACTACCACTCGCTGGTGCCCAGCATCACCGCGGCGGGGGGCATGGCCATCGCGCGCGTGATGAACGCCTCCTTCCTGCTCACCCCGCTGACCCTGCCCAACGCCTCGCTGCAGCGCGCGCTCGACCTGCTGAGCCCGCTCACGGCCAAGCTGGACTCGCTGAACATCACCTACGCGATGAACCTCACCCACTCCCCCTCGTACGTGGATCACTACAACACCCTGATCGAGCCCAACCCCACCCAGCTGGTCGAGAACGGCCAGTACGGCGGCAAGCTGATTCCGCTGGAGGTCATTGAGAAGTCGAACGCCAACCTCACCGCCGCGGTGCGCAGCATCACCCAGGACGGCGCCGTCTTCGTCAGTATCGCGTTGAACGTCTCGGCCGCCGTGACGGGCCCGACCAACAATTCTGTCCTGCCCTCGTGGCGCACGGCGGCGATGGACGTTATTTTGTCGACGTAAGTGCTCAGCCTTGGTTTCTTATTTCCGCAGTCTAGATTCGAGAACATACACTGATGACAATTGCTGGATAGGTCCTGGCCCGAGCACGCCAATCTCGGCAAGATGAAGCAGCTGGCCGACCAGATGACCCAGAAGTGGGTGCCGACGCTGGAGGCCCTGACCTCGGACCCCGGCTGTTACATGAACGAGGTAAGTTCCTAAAGTTTGCAGTCGAGATTTATGGCAGAACACCACTGACGTACTGAAATCTCCAGGCCGACCCGCAACAGCCGAACTGGAAGGAAGCCTTCTACGGACCCAACTACAACCGCTTGCTAGCCATCAAGAAGCAATACGACCCCCAGGACTCCTTCTATGCCTGGACGGCAGTGGGTAGTGACAACTGGGTGCAGGAGGCGGACGGTCGGCTATGCCGGGCGATTTCGTCTTGAGTATTGTAGAAGCACGTCTCGCATGCCGCATACCTTATCTCCCCTTCTGTGACTTAGAGCCAGCATAATCAACGCATCTTAGAACAATTGAACTACTTTACAATTTCACTCCGTCTAATTAACCTGACTGATGGAAAAACATGCAGCGACATCCCGCCAGATATCAACATCCAAAACAAAAGAGACCCATCCGCAAAACCCCACCGCGTAGATTGTCCAACCTACCGCTACCGCTCCGGCCCCGCCTCACCCTGATACTTATCCGCCCCAAGAGGTAACAGACTCTTCACCGCATCCACAATGCTCTCGCGCAGCGGCCGGAACTGCACCCCCAGAATCTCGCGCGCCCGCGTGTTGTCGAACCCGTACACCCCGTCCGCCGGGTACTGGCCGGGCTTCAGCGCGTCGCCCGTGGGCAGCCGGTCCCTGTACTGCGGGAACTCCTCGGCGATGATGGCGACGATCTCTGCGTTGGAGAAGTGGCTTGACACCGTGAAGAAGCGCTTGCCGCCGGCGGCCTCGTTCTCGACGGCGAGGACGTGCGCCAGCGCGAGGTCGCGGACGTCCACGAAGAGATAGTTGCCCGTAGGCGGGCAGCGGTGCTTGGCCGCGCCGGAGAGCAGGTCCCGGATGCGCTGGTTGGAGGTGTTGATGGCGTCGAGAGAGGTGAGGTGGTGGGTGATCGGGCCGAGGACGAGCGGGGGGTTCATCACGGAGAGGGTGAAGTTGGGCTTCTCGCGTTCGACGAAGTCCCAGGCGGCTCGTTCCTGTTTTTGTGAGGGGTTAGTTGTGAGTTATTCTAGAGCTCGGACATTTGTTGTGTAGAGCATTTGTGGGGCAGGCTTACAGCGAACGTCTTGCTGGCTCGGTAGGCGTTGGCGGGGCTGTCGTTGGCCTGGGCTTCGGTGATGGGACTCCAGTCTGCCTGTAGTGTGATCGCAGATTTAGTACGTGCCTGAATGAAGGTTCATATAGCGAACGGCTTACCTCCGAGTATACCTTGCCAGCGGCAGAGGCGAAGACATCGTTGATGGCAGCAAAGGAAGATGTCACCACGACGCGCTTCACCAGCGGAGCATACTTCTTCACCGACTGCAGGATCCCCGTGGTGCCCGTGACGGCTGGCAACAGCAACTCCTTTGCATCCTTAGCGTGAAAGTGATAGGGACTGGCAGTGTGGATGACAGCTTCGAAAGGAGGATCCGAAACCACCGCGCGGTCAAAAGCTGGTTGGCTGGTTAGTCATGGAGAGGCATTCCTTTCACACAGACGGATAGACTGTACCATTTGGCTGGGCAATATCTTCAACAATAGCAAACGACAAGCGATCCTGATTGACATCTGGGTGGGCCTTCTGGATGGCGTCGGCCTTGTTCTGCGATCGAACGGTGGTGACGACGGAGTGGCCGCGAGCCAGGAGTGTTTCCAGGACATGGGCAGCGATGAAGCCGCTCCCACCTAGTGGTCAGTTAGTCTCGGATCTTTGGCCCGGGAGTGAAGCTAGATATACCGGTGAGAAGTACGCGAGTCATGGTGTGACAGGAAGGTTTTTCAACAGGACTGATGAAGTGAAGAAGCAGGAATTGAGGTAGGAAGAGGTAGAGTAGCATTGAGCAAAGAGGGGTCCTGTTATCGTTATTTGTACTTTCTTATCGGAGTGGCATGAGCTCTTATCGGCTCCTTAGTCAGCGGCCCTGCATCGCGCTTACCCGATTCGGCCATGCTGCATGTCACCCAAAGGAGTTTCGGAGTGGCAGTGGTTGTTCCAAAGGAGTTAACCGCTTTAATCCCGAAGCCCCGATCAGCCCACCACTGCACTGCACTGCACCTTCACCTATTCTGGACATTCGTTATTCGGAGTACGCGCTATGAAGGGTACTGTTTACAGACTCAGAAGTCTAGATTAGGATGGACGCGCGGAAAGACCCCGGCCAATGCAAGACAAGTGTATTCAACTAATCCTAGTTGGTCCCAAACAATCCCATCCACCGCTTCTATGCACCATTACCCAACACAGTCATCCCCAGCAGTTCAATCTATATGCAGTAGCACCTTCAATATCCCCATCCCACCATCTTCGTCTTCATTTGAAACTGATTCAGCCACAAGCTCACAGCCAGACACTGCCCCCATATGGATCCGCCCGATACTCCTTCTGTCCATCGGCCCAGAAGGTGCTCGCCGTGCCGAAGGTATCCTCCATGTACTGAAAGTAGGTGATCTTCATGTCCTCGTTGATCTCGGCCCGAGCCGACCAGGGGGCGGTGATGGTTTTCTGCATGATGTTGGAGGTGATCTCGAACTGGCCCCAGGCAGTGACATTGCCCCCGCCATCGCTGAAGATGGCGTCGATCGAGAACGGGCCGCGGGTCCACCAGAGGCCGACACGTGTGAAGGTGTCTAGGAAGGCCTGGTAGCCCACCCGGTAGCGCGTCCCCGCCCACGGCATGATCTTATGCAGGTCCGGGTTGTCCATGGTGAGCGAGACGTAGGTGGCGTCCAGGGTGACGCACTCCTTGATGAGGTCCGGGTCCGGGTTGGGCTGGGTGTTGAGGATCTGGAGGAAGACGTTCATCGGGGTGCGGGTGAGGTTGGCGGGCCAGATCACCGTGGGACTGGTGTAGCGCTTGTCGAGGTGGGCTGCATCTTCCTTGTTGGGCGCAGGTCCGTGGGGTACGGCGGCGGCCAGGGGAGACCAGATGAAGAACAGGCTTAGTGCCACGAGGCAGATGCGCAGGCTGGGTATCGATGCGAACATGTTTGCGCTTCTTGTGTCACGTTTTGGCAAGAAGCAACGGGGTAGACCTCTCTTGAGATATCAGAAAGAAGATGTGTTTAGAATGTTCTGTCTGTTCTTGTGGTTGCCTGGCCGTCCTTCAGCACCTTTATATAGAGTTGTCCCTGGAATCTCATTCATTAGCCTACCGACCTCACCTCTCCAGCCTTAGCTACCAAGACCACTGTACTCCTCAAAGCGTGCTGAAGGTGTCCGGAGTACTCGAATGGGTTCACGGACTTCCAGAAAAGAAGCTCGAAGGAATCTTCTCCGGAGGGTTTGGGGGCGGACGCCGGCAGGATTCATCGAATACGAGGCGGTGGAGGATTTCTACCAAAGAGATTCGCTGTAGCTTTCGGTGTATAGGCGTCCAGCTCCACTTCCAAATTGCTTGGCCTAATAGCATTTCGCTTATTTTCTCTGTCTAACAATGTATGCTCTCTGGTGTAGGACAGTAGGTGAAGGTTCCTCGGGGCAACTGAAAACAAACAGGAAGGCGTAAGTATTGTCGTGATAGGTTCATGGCAAAATGCTTGTCATTATTCTGGGGTTTGCCGTGCTACCGGACCTGATCCTAGTCGAATACTACCCTTATCTCAGTGTATCCCTGTCTTCCTGCGTTGACCTCGTGGACGACCATGTGGTCAGTGAGATTCTTCTGCAAGTTCCTCGTGGTCGAGTAGATTGTAGGATCGTGATTTACACCGCCGGCCCAGGGCTACGTCACTGAAGCACCGTTTCCGCATTGGGGCTCCGGATCTCCGACAGCTCCTTTGGACAGGATCCCCTTGCCGTATGGGGTTAGCGTGGTGCTAACCCTTGCATGACACTAGCCTGCAACCATAGTAATGTGATCGAGCAGCAGGCCCGCGTCGAACTCCATAGGCAGAAATGAAGAACGTGATAAACCATTCTTCTTGATTTGATGCTCATGCTGATGAGGCTACCAAGTTTGTGGAAGCGGTGGTTGCTGATGGGTCACGTGTCTGTCCTGCCGCCCTTGTCTATGCATTCGGCTAAACTCTTGCTCTGACCCTGTCGCAAGTGAATAGCTACAAAATATATTTCCAAGTCGAGTTGAGCTCATAGGAAAGACAGAACAGTGTGTAGCGAGTAAATGGAATAGTGTTGCAATTGCACGCAATCATCCAGTTTTATGGATGCAACATACATGTTAATAAGTATATTTTAGTGTTAGTGGGATCTGCCGTCCTGAAACTACGTGACAACGGCCGCTTGCTTTTAGTAGCAAGGTGTATTCGAAGCATGCACTGAATGTAAGTAAAGTCAGACTCAATATAGCCATGTACCTTGACCTTTCGATGTCAAGCAAAGATGAAACAACATTTTCAATTCAACAACCAGCTTATGAGCAGCGTTCCGCATGATGATGCAAAGGTAAAAAAGTTTACTTTGCAACATTGCAATAGAAGGCGAGAATCGAGGTAGAGTGAGCAATATACGAGGAATCCAGAAACCATATTGAATTGGGACATTATAGCAAGTAACGATTACCAGAACACAGGAACCCATGGACCAGGTGGGTCATCTTCCTGAAATATTGACTGTATTCGGGTCTGCTGCGCGACATGATCATTTTATGAGTCAACAGAAACGTGTTTGTCTCCCGGCCTACGTATCGACACATCGGGAACTTTCCATCTTCCATTTTTCTTTAGTTCCCTTGGATCATTGCGCTTTGGTATGCTCTTGTCTTTGTGGTAGATGCTGCATCTTCCGAGCTGTGTTGCGGAAAAGATTCTCCCTCGTGCATACTCCCGTCCATTCAATACCCCCAATCCACTTCAGCCTCAATGATGTCTGTCAAGGTAGCAGAGATATCCCGTGCGAATCTCAGAAGCACCTGTCAGGAGCTGGCCTGGATCACAAATGTCCAACACCTGTCTTCCTATAACTGGATCGAAGCACCGTCACCGACCATCGCCGTCCCCGGCAGCCCTGCCCTCTGGTCTCCACCAGAACTGCACACCAAGCTCCACAAGGATCATGACTTGATTTACATAGCCCAGAATGCTGCACGCCACCCCGCGAGTCCACTCGAGCCCCTCTTTCGCGCCGTGTACCTCGAGAACCCTTCGTTCGACATCCACTCGATCGACCTAGTGACGGATCAGGATAATATCCGCAAGCTTTTCGCGTTCGTCAACCCCCAAACCTCCCGCAATGACCTCAAACCGTTCACCATCAATGTAGAAAGGGTCCGAAACACACAGACTGTGATCTTTTGCCGGTCGGAACGAGAGACATACGATACCATTCTACCGCATCAGTACATGGGATTCGCCAAGGCGTTTGCGAAGGCCTTCACTACCGAGCAGGTGACGGGGAGTACCGGACATTACAGAATCATCTCATACCGATTCGGGAGCTTGAAGCTGATGGTTCGTCACGAACCGGACGGCTATGTCGGCTCCCCGCTTTCGTACGGGTCCACGGGAGTCGGAGACGTGAATACTGATGAGGTTTCCCGTTCCTTTGAGTACCTCTATTACGGTAGACCGTATCTGCAATTGTCCCAGGCTGCTTCTTTAGCTGGGGCGAGGTTGTTGATCAAGAGAGAAGGCCAGGTTGTTCCCATTCAATCTACGCTTGAGGTCAAAACTCGCGCTGTTTCTATGCCTATTGATGTCGACGAGGTCATTCCCCAGCTCTGGGTGTCTCAGACCCCGAACCTTGTGCGCGCCTACCACATGGGAGGACTCTTTGAGGAGCCCACGGTTGAAGATATGACGGCGGAGATCAAGAAGTGGGAGGAGGCTCACCAGCACGACCTCAAAAAGCTCGTGTGTCTATTGCAGAGAATCATCAGCGTGGTTGAGAAATGTGGAGGAAAGGCTGTGCTCAAGTACGACGCAGATCGCGATAAGTTGGAATTGTGGGAGGGAGGCACAAAGGCTATGCTACCTTCAGACCTGTACGACAGATTAAACCAGGAAAGAGTCAGCTCCAAGTTCGAACCGGCGTCAAGTTCCGATCGTGACTAGAAGGCGACACTCGACTTTTGAGGGAATTGATGTTACGTTGGTTGAATTACTGCTAAGCATGATCATCTCGCTGAAGCTATCTTTGAACAAGCTGCGAATTCTGGAATTTGGATGTATGTCAAATGGAGTATTTTAGAAATTAGATTGCTGGTTCATACATGACAGGAAAGCGATGAACATGTTCGTCTTTATATTCCAGGAAAAGACCTTTCTCAAAAAGCTGGATTGAATTGCAATCTTTTAATGCCTGGATGATTGGGTAGACCTCTAATAAGGACTTTGATAAAGTCACGACGGTTTCCTCCCCCTCGGAAAACATCCATTAAGGGAACCGACCCTTCGGTTCAGGGTATATGCGCATTGACGGCGCTCCGCTCCGAAAGGGCGCATAAATTTAGCGAAATCCGTTTTTTAGGTTGAATGTTTCTGAGAAATGCCTATTGAAACAAGGCGACTGATTCGCTCTTCTCTGCAGTCCTGGTAACTGTTGCCCTTATAAGAAGACTGGAAGAGCAACTGTCCGTCTCGGTGGACATTATCGATACTACAAAGCTGGCAGAAGCGTATGGGCTGTATGCTGTACCAACAGTCAATATCAAAGCTCCAAGCTATCTCGAGCTGCAGGTTATGTGGTGGTGTCAAGTTTCGTTGATTCGGTTGTTGACGGAGACAGTTTCCATGAGGTACAATGCTGAGCTGGCACCATGGAAAGTCTTTGGAAGAAAGGGGTAGGTAATTCGCAAGTGGGATGTGTACTAGCAGAGCTGCCTGGATGAACGTGGAGGGGATTTATCGAAAACCCCGATTGGCTCGATGCCGAATTATAGGAGATGTCCTACTGTAGTGGCTGTGTCCAGTCAACTTAGAGGGTTAATCCTGCTGAACCCATTGGACTGAGTCTACTAAAATGGTGCGGTGCTGCTATGTTTACGTTTCCATGACACATGATGCACATTTCGAAATGGGCTGAAAGCAGCGTCTGGGTCACAATTTGGTAAGCAAAATACATCGATGTAGCACTAAGATAACTGATTAACGGAAAAGCACGCAATGAAAGTGATAGTACTACTTCGTGTCAAGAACCATTGGGTCTTCGTCGTCGTCGTCGTCATTATCGTCATCATCATTCTTCCTGTCGGGACGCTTCTCAAAGTGACCAGAACTTTCCACACTCGAAGGTCGTTTCATCCAGATAGGCTTTTCAGGGTTGATGGATCTCCCTGCCTTGGAGAACCTATCTGCCTCTTCGAGCCCCTTTGCTTTGATAGAACGGCTAAACTTGGTAGGCTGTTCATGCTTGGTATGCGCAGTCCGATCATTGACTAGGACATTTGCTGCTGCCCGCACTTTCGACTGGTCGTAATGTTCGCCATGCACAGACCCAAAGGCCAAGACAGCGGGTTGAACAAAGAGCACAATATCCTTTCCATCAAGACGTGGATCATCCTCATCTAGTTGGTGAAGGCGCTGCGCCTCTGCCCTTGGATCTCCATTCCTAAACCGTGCTATCTCACGTAGGCAATGGCAAGCCATGTTTGTGCGCTGGGTCCAAAGAGACAGGGCCAAATGAGTTGCTTGACAGAGCAAGCTTTCGAGTTCCTTGACGCACACGTAAATGCTATATGAATTCTCTAGATTGATCAAGAGAGCTTTAGCAGAGCCGCTGACAAAGAATTGCGCTTGGTCTTTGCTGAGAATGTTGATTCGACTATGGAGAAAAGGCTGAGCACTCTCGCCTGAGGGTACACTGAGCAATCGCAACATCTGGGAGCGCCAACTATGGGCTTCCTTTTCGTCAACTACTCTCATGTATTAGTAGACTTCAAAGCCAAATATAGCATATTTGATTACCTTGTTTCATATGTTGATAAATCCTTTGCAACTCGGAGGGTATGGACACAGAATAGATGGGTGTAGTGGCCCGAAAGACATAGAAAGGATCTTGGAACATGCTTTGAAACACGAATCGAGCCAAAAGAACTTGCATCAAAATAGCTGGGACTTTGTCGGTAGAGATTGACAGCTTGTTGGTCAGAGACTTCCAGGTGGCTTCTTTGCAATAGTCACCTAGCCCCCTAACAACCACATCCAGTTCTGATTCCGAATTGGCTTCCAGATCAGTCACACGTGATACAGCATACCTTCTAGCCCATGAACGCATGTTATCTTTGAGCCTTATCAGAGCACGTCGAATATCTTGGTCCTCCATCGGAGGCGGCCCCTTTAGTGCCACTAGGTTCTGGAGAGCCGATTCCTGCTTTGCGTCCATTACAGCCTGAATTTCCGCATTCTTCCTTCTTTCTGCTGCAAGCTTCTTGCGAAGACTCTTAAGTTCCCTTCCTAGGTACTTAGCCGTGTCGTCGAGGTTGGACACTTGCTGGTTGTGTTCATTGCTCTGTCGATGCTGACGGACTTCGGTTTCTTCACTTAGAACCCCACTTTTCCTGTGCGGCCTATCGACCTCGTCTTCGGGTTTGGCCTTTGGTGTATGCGCAGTGAACCCTGGTATAGTATTTGCATTTTGAGTAGGTGTGATGATAAATTCCGGCTGTGTTGGTCTATTCCATCCAAATGAAGAATCCCGAGACGGTGAGTCAAGCTCGTCCTGTAGATTGCACTCCTAAACCATCAGATATAGATCGTGGGGAGCGTGGAGATATAGGCATTTTACCTTCCGGCTTGGGCGCGACATCTTGTCCATCACTTTCAGAAGACTAGCAAAATCGGGAAATCTGATTCTCTTCCGTGTGCAGACCTCCAATAAGGTCGTGGGTTATGGACCCAACATCCCTTGCCGCTGGTTGATAGCGAGGTGGTGAAGACTGGCCTTGACTGGTGATGCTGTTGCGGGCGTAGAAAAAAGGTTGATGGTCAACATATATCGTTATGGGGAAGAGAAGATTATTTGAGAGATGATCAGAATAGGATGAAGAGGACAGGTTGTGTTACCCTACCAGTATCCACTCATTCCAGCCAAATGATGTTGCTCTTCATGTTCATTCACTCGCTGCTAAAAGTAACCCCTCTTATACCTCACCCTCACCTTACTACAAACGTGACATGACCATCATTTTTGATACCTAGCTTACTGCTGTTTCTTTTTCTCCTAGTCCCTGGAATGACTCTGGTTCTCTACCTTGTCATCTCCCTCTCCTTACACCCATCTGCAATAGCATGCCCAGCGACTACATCTGCTAAGAACCATCACACTTCTACTATTGATTACCCCTTCAATCTTATATTTATTCATCTTTCCCAGCTTGCCATCATCTGAGCAAATATCTAGAATGCCATCATCAAAAGCTCCTAGGCTAAAGGCCGCCTACACTGCGGATGGCAAGATCATTGTGGGCATAGATTATGGAACCACATTTACAGGAGCCAGCTATGTGAGCTCTCGAGGGTCGACACTAAATGACATCACAGTCCATCGATTCATGGCCCGGAAATGCGCGAGGCATTGATACAGTTTCCAAATCCCCATCCCGGATCGCATACGCGGCCGAAAATCCCCGAGCTTCCAGAAACCTCTGGGGCTACCAGATCTCGTCTAACATGTCAGCATATGCTTGGACTAAGCTACTGCTGGATAATAACACCAAGCTAACGGAATATGATGATCCGGCTCTTGAAGCGACGCTGGGAACAGGGATCTTACGCCTTCCGGCCGGAAAGTCAGCGGTTGATGTTGCGGCTGACTATCTGACCCTCGTCTATCAGCACATCAGACATACCCTTGTCCGACACATTACGGAGGAGGCTTTGAAGAAAACCCCATTGGAATTCTGGTTTACCGTGCCAGCGATTTGGTCTGATCAAGCCAAGCATGCTACCCGAACGGCTGCTCAACGGGCTGGGTTCTGGTCAAGTCCCGAAAGGCCTCACGATCGCTTGTACTTCATCAGCGAGCCCGAAGCGGCGGCCATTACTGCACTGAGAAGGTACACCAGTGATAGTACTGGAGGCTCTATCACGGTAAGCCCTCATATTGATTTTATCTGAAGGCTTTGTTTCTCATGGTCACAGGTCGGAGACGGTGTGCTTGTTTGCGACTGCGGGGGAGGAACAGTGGTAAAGAACACCCCCCAACACAGAAGCCTACTTGTTGATCATGCTGAGCGTTCTATTCAGGACATTACAACTTACGTTGTCAAGAAAGTAGCCCCAACTCTCAAGTTTAAAGAGTTGCTGACAGGCGTTGGTATGAGTCCCCGGTACTATTCTGCAAATACACTTGTTGCTAACCACTATTACAAGGCGGAAAATGCGGTTCTACTTCCATTGATCGAAATTTCCACAAGTTCATGTCACACCGCTTTGGCGACGCATTTGACAGGTTGCCAATGTCTACCAAAGGCCCCGGAAGCGCTTTTATGGACAAATTCGAGATTATCAAGAAAGACTTTGGGTCGTCCACTTCATACGATATCTTCGCACTACCTCTGAATATGAAGTTGCCACATACGACCAGTCCCGAATATTTCGACGTGGAGGAGCGCCTGGTGCAGCTTACAAGGTAAAGTTGGAACCCCGTGGTTAAGGAATAGATACCTGAACTTGCATAGTGATGACATGCGAACGTTCTTCGACCCTGTTGTGGACAAGATTATCAACCTATTGCAGGGGCAGATCGCAGAGGCGCGCAAACTTCGCGGCAAAAAGCCGATAAATGTGTGTAGTTTTGATCTAGTATCACCCACCCTCTTACCCATGAACTTATGATTCTGTCTAGAGGATAATCCTTGTCGGTGGCTTCGGCGGCTCGGAATACCTATGCCGGCGTGTTCGCTCGACGTTCGGAACCACGGGCAAGATTACCGTCACTATTCCGCCGAATCCGTGAGTGACCAATATGTGACTCTGATTTTCATTGTCGCTAACTTGATGACAATACTGACGACCCTTAGGCAAACGGCTATTGTACAGGGTGCTGCTCTCCGCGGCTTGGAAGGTATCCGATCAACCACCAAGCTCTGCCGGCGCCACTATGGTTTTGAATGCGCGATCGATTTCCGTGAAGGTCTCGATGACGAACGGAACGCCTGGATAGACCCGTTTAATGACAGGAAATTGGTTCGTGGTATCATGAAGTGGATGATTTCCAAGGTGAGATCTGCTAAGCCCATTGTGTGACCACCGAGCGCCCACTAATACATCCAGCAGGGTGAAAAATACGCCGAGGAATACAAGCAAACTGTATACACTCGGTGGACCCACAGAAAGTGTGACTCCCTGATAAAAAGCACCAATTCTTACGCCAGTGAGAAAATGCTGGCTCCAGAACGAATGGATGCTGACGGTATGTTCTCCCCCTTAGGTAAAGTGGGCTCAAGTCTAACCATACACTACTGGAAGGCGTCTACAAGGTTGGCTGCATTGTCGTTGACTTCACTGAAGTCGACCTTTCTCAATTTCCCGTAGTGAGGAAGGGCGGGCAGAGAATCTACAATCTGCAATACAACATTAGGGTGACATTTGGCGCGCAGGATGGATTGTTGAAATTTGAGGCAACCTGCCAGGGGAAAATAATTGGTAAAACGAGCATCGAGTTCACAGCGACCTGACTGGCGCAGTGTTTTGTCTCATGGGTGTGGCCTTGTTCCTTTCTCTCCTAGGCTGTGGTGGATACCCGGAATCCTTTATCCATGGGCAACAGAATGCCGATACCATATATGCTCGTCTCTAGGTGCTCACAGCTTCATAATTGATGCAAAGAAGAACCAGCTCTATATTGGATCTTGTGCCCGCCAAAATTGGGTTCCCTTGTAGATTGCGAAATAAAATGTAAGGAAAGAGTTACTTGTATGCCGGAGCCTTCGAGAAGGGTGGCGGTCCGGGGATCGTCGTTTCCCTTTGGTAGCAGTTTCCAAAGGTAGAAATGTTCTAGGCCGTAGAGATTGACAAGACGCCTTGAGCTCAATGGGTCGACGCTCCAAATCGAGAAATTTAGTTGCGTTTATAACGGAATACAATCAGTCTCAAACTCAAGTAATGTATGGAGACAGCTGACGAATGTCGTTCGAGTGTAATAAAAAAAAGCGAACAGCTACCGAGCCACGATGACGGCCTTACTGCCTAAGGCCTTGATTGCATACAGAGCAAACAACGCGCCGCCGTCCCTTCCGCCGGTTGAAGAGGAATGCGTCGCACCTCAGCATCTACTCAAAATCCTTTTTCTTTCTATTCAAGCTGGCTCCAACAACTCGACTGTTCTTCCCCTGAGCCCGTGTGGCTGACATGGACGCCCCACGGCGTATGGGCCGCCAAAAGCGACCGCGAGTGCCGGAATCTGCACGGAAAAGAGCAGCTCAAGCGTAAGCTGCCGCTCTTCGCAGCATAAAGGAAGCTAACCCGTCCACCGATCGCCGACAGCTGTGTCCCTTGTCGGTATCACAAAGAAAAATGTATAACATTCTCTCCCACTTTGGTTGCAGCTACTGACGGAGTTTTAGGCGGCGGGGGCCAGCCGTGCGCACGCTGCCGTCAGTACAATCGCGCGTGCCGGTTTGAAACGGCCGCATTGCAGCGGTCAGGCAGAGAAACCAACGACAATGCTACTGGGTTGGACTGAACTGAAGACTCATCCTACAGGATACTAATATGTAATAGATCTGGATCCAATCCTAAGGCGCAAGACAGGGAAGCTGTTATGATGAGGATAATCAAACATTTCATCGGCGATGTGGCCACTGACACGGCGAGTTTGCAAAGTATTGCCGATGCACTTGAGAAGCGAAGTCCGGACCACGACGTTCAAATAATATCAGCGACGACGGAACCAGAACCAGAAAACTTTTCTCTTGAGCCACTATCGAGCAGTGCCATGCGTAAGCTTCAAAACACCAATTTTCTCGGACACGACTGACAACTTCCAGACTATTACGGGGAGTTATCTCACTGGAACTTTTCCCAAACGCTTCTTCGTAGGCTGCGGAGTTTAGGCAGTGGAACGGGCCAGAACCATGTATTTACGCCTGACGAAGTCGTTTAGTAGTTTCTGCTGATTGTGTTTAGGGGATAGATAAAGTCCGCGGAGTACATCGTGCGACCGACTTACAATCACCTACATCAGTGGTCTCCTCTGCTATGGTTTACTTCCCACCTAGGGATATCGGAGAATTCCTCACCGAGACGTTTCTTCAATTTGCCCAGACCAATTACTTCTACTTTGACGAGAGAACACTACGACAGAAGATGGACTATTATTATTCCAATGAGCATGCTCTGGCGATACACGACGCTGGATGGATATGTACCCTTCTCATGACCTTTGCCATAGGAACCCAGTTTGCCTATATGCAGATGAAGCCAACACAGATGAGCCTCCATCTTTCTCAAGAGATACCAGATGATCGTGCTGGGCTAGAGCTCTATCGATTCTCGTGTCGACTGATTCCTGACCTGATTACCGTGGCATCCGTTGAGACGGTACAGGCCTTCTTGCTACTGGGTAGCTACACGGTGCCGATCGACACATCTGGCCTGGCCTACACGTATTACGGCCTTGCCACTAAGATGGCGATTCAGAATGGCATGCATAGGGATAGTTCTCATCTCTCGCTTGACCCTGATACTCTCGAGTGGCGGAATCGTCTGTGGTGGTCCGCCTACTCACTGGAAAGGTGGTCCCTGCCACGAAGTCAGCCTCATGGTCTCCGTTACTAACTCTAGTATAGTCGCATCAGCATTCTACATGGAAGGCCAGTGTCTGTCTCTCGCCTTGAAGTCGATGCAAAGTTTCCGACCGACCAAGCCTTACCCCTCCCGACCGGAAGAGCTTCAAACCTAGAGAACGTGAACGCAAACATTTTCTTGACGGGCCAGTTGAGCAAGGTATCCCAGACCATTATGCACCTGCGGGGCTGTCCACGCTTTCAGCAAAAGAGCCACCTTCAGGAGCTGATGGTGATCCGGTCTAATCTCAGCAAGTGGTGGTCAACCCTTCCGGCCGAAGTCCATTGCCGAGATCTGACCCCAACTGGACCTCTGTTCCGCTGCAATGTTCACCTGGAGCTGAGTTATGATACCATGATAATATACATGGGCCGTCCATTTATATTCGCGCCCAAGCCAAGTCTTTCCTTGGGATCAGACGCGAGTAGTGAGAGTCCGATAAACACGCTTTCGACCGACTGCCTCAATGCCGCGATACGAATCATCGATCTCTGCCAGCTTCTGCACGACTCGGTCGGAATCGCCCGTGTCTCATACACAGAATTCAGCTCCTGCCGCGCGGCACTGCTTGCGTTGATCGCGCATAGCCTAAACCACCAGGCAGACCGTGTCCTGAACAGCCTGTCTCAGGGCATGATTCTCATCCGACAAATGTGCGTGGGTGTAGAATCCGCTCGATCGGATGTGGCGGCTATCGAAGCATTGGAGCTGGCTCGTCAGCGGCTGCAGCGGCAGGAGGATCGGAAGCAAGAAGGGAACCACAATGTAGACTCAGGATATAGTCAGTTTCAGCGATGGGCACAACTTTGGCAACCTGATAGTCTCACCTCGCACCTTATGCCGACTCCTGCGCCTGGGTCTCTGGCTGATCTCCCCGAGAATCTGACACCGCCCTCCTTCGATGGGTTCTTTGCCTCCTTGCCTCAAGAGCTGGACTCTTTTGCGACCATCACGGGTTCCGATCAGTTGTTCTTAGATGATAGTTGGCTTGGGGAGATACGAAGTTCTATCATGTCTGAGGAAGGCAGTATCCCTTTCGGTCCGGGATTGTGAATGTTCGAGTAGGATTTTGAGCGAATGTGTGTTATGGGAATGATGCAAGTCATGATGACATTCTTCTTGTAGACTGTCGCGATGGTCTTGCACTGGGCGACGCTTCTGACACAGCTGTATTGTACATAACATTCGGGTTCAGCTTCCAACAAGACCTCCCGCATCCCATGTCAGAGAAGTGAGCAGTGACCGAGCAGTACCCGGGCCGAGAGAAGCTGGTCCGGCACCGGAGTGACAGGCGGGCACTCGATCGGGTAAGCGTACCCGAGTGGGGATCTTGAGGGGAAATGGTTTACAATCCAGGCTAACTGCTTCCACTCCCCGCACCAAGCAGCCATGATGTATATCTATCCTCACAGTCCTATCGATTCTGCTCACACATGATTCTAATCAGAACACAATCCTCACCACCGACCATGGCTCAACTATCTGACTACCGTCTGCTCACATTTGACGTCTACGGCACGCTAGTGGACTGGGAAACCGGCATCCTCACCGCCTTCCAGCCCACCTTGGAAAAGGCAAACGCGCAATTCTCGCGCCACCATCTCCTGACTATTTACCACGAGCTGGAACATGCGCAACAGGAACAGACCCCAGACATGCCCTATTCTGAACTCCTGACAACCATCCACCCCACCTGGGCGGCGCGTCTAGACCTCCCCGCCCCCTCCCGCGACGAAAGCATCCGTTTCGGCGAATCAGTCGGCAACTGGCCCGCCTTCCCAGACACCGTCGACGCTCTCAAACGACTCTCCAAGCATTACAAACTAGTGGTACTCTCCAACGTCGATCGCGAATCATTTGCCAAGACGAACGCTGGCAGTCTTCAGGGATTCGAATTCGACTTGATCATCACCGCGCAGGACGTGGGGAGCTACAAGCCCGACTTGAAGAATTTCGAGCATATGTTGGACGCGGTCAAGGAGAAGTTCGGAGTGGAGAAGAGCCAGGTGCTGCAGACGGCGCAGAGCCAGTTCCATGATCACTACCCTGCAAGCAAGGTGGGGATTAAGTCGGTCTGGATTGAGAGGCTCGGGGCTACGATGGGGAACATGGAGGAATCGATCTTTGACTGGAAGTTCGATACTCTAGGCGAAATGGCGGATGCGGTAGACGGTGGACGATCAGATCCTAGGCTGGGCTGAGCGGGAATGGAACCAAGATAGATCCAGTAGATGAAGTTATCTGTGTCTCATTTTCCCATCCTGTCCATCGCTCGGGTTTGTCGGAGCACACGCAATTGTATACTGCTTGCCGGGTACAGGTACCCGAGTGGGGACGGAACAGGGCGCGGAAAAGTGGGCACGGCGCAGAAAGCAGCATAGCGGAGTGGAGTAGTCGCCAGACACGGACGAATACTAAAAGGGCTTTAAAGAAACCTGTAATTGAGGGACACAAGCTAAAATAATCTCCGAGCAAATGTCCATATTCTTCGAGTCTGAAGCCTGCACTCAACACTACATGCGGCCCAGCACTACTGCACGGTCAGTCTCCTAGCCCACTCACAACCAGTACAGTCGCTGACAAGCTATCCAGACAGGCCATCTCCAAAATCATCACCTTACCCTCGAGACCACGACCACGACCACACTCACGACCCAAAATGCGGTTCGCAGATGTAACTCCCCTTCCTGACATCCCCACCCTCCCAGCCCCAAGATACTAACAAAGCAACAGGTAGCAGTAACCTACACGGCCGACCAATTCCACGGCCTCTACCGCGGCGGCAAACCGCACCACGCACCAGACTGGGCGCACGTCGTCGCGCGCGCCCGCGCCCACGGCTGCGAGAAGATGCTCCTGACCACGATGACGCTGGCCGGCGCATCACAAAACCTGGCCATCACACGCGAGTACCCGTCCATGTGCACCATGACGCTCGGCGTGCACCCTTACCACGCCAACGAGATCTACGCCGACGAGGCCGCAGCCGCAACCCCGACTGACTCCTACCTCACCCGCCTCCGCGAACTAGGCCACTCCCTCCTCGCCACCACCACGCACCACTCCCCGCTCGTCGCGTTCGGCGAGATCGGCCTCGACTACGTGTATCTCGACCGCGCCGACAAGGCAACCCAGCAGCGCGCGTTCCGCGACCAGCTTGACATCGCGGTGGAGATGCACCTCCCGCTCTTCCTGCATGTGCGGGGCGAGGGGGCGTGCGAGGACGTTGTCGCGATCCTGCAGCCGTATTTGGAGCGGCTGCCGGTTGGGAGGCGGGGGCTGGTGCATTCGTTTGCCGGGTCGGCGGAGGAGATGCGCGTGTTGGTAGGGCTGGGGTTCGGGATTAGTGTCAACGGAGTAAGTTTTCGGACGGAGGAAGGGCGCGAGATGGTGCGGCAGGTGCCGTTGGAGGTGTTGCAGTTGGAGACGGATGCGCCGTGGTGTGAGATTGTCGAGGACGATGCCATCAAGCCGTTCTTAGAGGGGGCGAAGCCCCTGCCCGCGGCGAGGAAGAGTAATAGGTTTGTGGAGGGGTTGATGGTCAAGGGGAGGAATGAGAGTTGTGCGATGGAGCGGGTGGCTAGGGTGGTGGCGGGGTTGAAGGGGGTCGAGGTGGAGGTGGTTGCTGAGGCGGCGTGGAGGAATAGTGTTGCTATGTTTGGGTTAGGGGAAGGGGATGGGGAAGGGGATGGGGAGGGGGAGGGGGGGGGGAGAAGGGGGGGAGAATTGAAGCATTGAGTGGTTCGATGGATGGACTAGTGTATATTATCTATGAATCATGTGAATAGTTAGATGTTAGAATTGCTACGCCAGATAGAGTGGTTGTTGTTTACTGTTTTGCTGTTTTCATAGAGCTACCCCTCGGCTGGAAAATGAGCATCAATTGTTATAGCGCTACTGTTAGCGTCATGATGTTCGTTGCTTGATGGAAATGCGATAAAAACACGAAGAATAGATAGCGATCATGAAGGACCACGAGTCTACCGGTCTCTAAGGGGCACAAGTCGCAACCACAGCTCCTTAATTGCTGCCTGATTCCACGTCGCAAAAGATGCTTTGGTCGCCAGTTTTACTACGTCAAAATACGTGACTGAGGGTAAATCTATCCATAGTGTACGTAGCTCATTTTCCAGGCAGCTTCAATATTAAGTGACAAAGAGGCCGAGCTTTCCTTCAATGTTGAGCTTCACAGGCGCTGTTGCCTGTCGATGAGCGGCAACGTTGGCGTTGTGTGAATACACAGCTGCCTAACACAACGGACATATATATCAAGCATTTGCTTCTGTCTTCCCTGCAATGATCCAAACGGTGGTTCCATGGTGCAAGATTAAGTTAATTTCCCAGATTATTAAAATTACTTGAAGATGTCGGTAAGTGCAACTCGAGTCATGAGATGTCGACTCGACACTGACAATCGTCCAATCTCAGATGCCATCAGGGTACGTCCTAAACTTCCCTGGCCCATGAAATCATCTCTTCCAAGTTTACATCTGACCAGAACAGAGTCATGATCTCGGATGAGTGCATCACCGCGTCCCGGTCACTCCGCTTCGGCAGAGGGCCCAAGAAGCCCCGGTTTGTGATCTACAAGATCTCCGACGACGAGACCACAGTCGAACTATGCGAAGCCTCTAGCGAACCAAACTACGAGGTCTTCCTCCACTCTCTCTGCGGCGCAGGAGACAGCACGGCGAAGCCAATGCCACGATACGCGGCGTACAACGTGGAATATGACCTCGGGGAAGACGGGAAGCGCTCTCGCCTGGTGTTTATCAGCTGGGTCCCTCAGAACACATCATTGAAGGTGAGCTCCGCCACATCATCTTTGACAGCCCATCGAATCGAAGTTGACGCTTCTGCGAAGCTGTGTATGTTGTATGCGACCACAAAGGAGCAGTTAAGGAATGCGCTCGACATCAAGCTTGCCATCCACGCGGACACCCCGGATGAACTCGAGTGGCGGAGTATATTGAGCGTCGCTAGTGGGGGCAAGGTCTAGAGATTGGGGTTCTGTCTGGTATATTGCCGTTCGAAGCATGCGCTATATCTTGTTGGCAATGTGTATACGGTAGTAGATAACATTTAAATTACCACCCTACAAATACTACGATTTTCTTTTCTATCTTCACCGCGCGACTTGGTATTTCCTGGTGAGGAATAAGTATGGCCATCTTCATAAGCGTCTTTTTGAGCATTTCTTTAAGCAAGCACAGTAGTCAACATAGCCTTTCTAAATACCTTAGATGATATGATATCTGTATTAGGATTGCAGTAGGAATGCTTGGCCTTGATATACGTTGGGCATCGCCTCAACAACTTGTATCGTACAAAGTATAATGTCTACGTCGAAAGTAAGAGATGATATTAGTCAAGTTTCTTGATTATTCCAGAGATGTATGACTTTGATGTTTTACCGATATGAAGTACGTACGAAGGTGCTTAGAGGTAGGGCATGAAGTTATTTTACCGGCAGAATGGAAAGTGAAGCACGAAATCGAGTAAGGCATGGAACACATTTAAGTGAGGGGCAGCTGCTATGCACATAACTTATCCTGGATTTGATCATTACTGCGGAACATCGCGTCATAGCTCTTCGCCGGTTTGCAAACGCTAATACAAGTGTAATAATAGCTACATGCTTTCCACCTGGTGACCAGGCTCCAGTTGACATGGACAGTAGGCACTGCTGCGTAAGCATGCGTAATCATCCTCGGGTAGTGTCGAACCCGGTGGCCGTGGACCGTCTTCATCGGATCCCGTTGTGCCCGCAATACCGGTCCCCCTGCATCTTCATCGTGCATCTTGCCCTATGCTTAGTCACGTAGATATGTATCGATATAAAAGCCGTAGTTGAGACTGTGGGCTGTCTGGGGGCGCTATCGATGGAAAGACTCTTCACTCTCACCATGGTCTCCAGAGATTCCGAGTCCGTGATCTCCCCAAACATTGGCGCCGGTCTGCGCACCTTCCTGTACTCGCAACTGTTCGTCACCCCGCCATACCCGCGCGAGTCCTTCGCCAACCAGACCATCATCGTCACTGGCTCTAATACAGGCCTGGGCCTCGAAGCCGCACGCCACTTTTACCGTCTGGACTGCGCGCGGCTTATCCTCGCGGTCCGCAACACTGCCAAAGGTGAAGCTGCCAAGGAGGACATCCTCCGCAGCAACATCACGCATCGTTCGGACGCGAGTGCGATCGAGGTCTGGTCGCTGGATTTGTCGAGCACCGCATCGACGGTTGCATTTGCAGAGAGGGTGAAGCATGAGCTGGATCGGGTCGACGTGTTGGTTGAGAATGCAGGGATCAACACGGGGGAGTGGACGCTGTGTGAGGGCCACGAGCAGGCGGTCCAGATTAATGTGCTGAACACGTTTCTTTTGGCGCTTATGCTCCTCCCAAGGCTCCGGGCCACCAAACATCTCACCGCTGCGGATGTTGTCAACCCGCATCTGGTGATCGTGAGTTCCGAGGCGCATCGGGTGACGTCGTTTCCGGAGATCAAGGCCCTGAATCTTTATGATGAGCTCAAGGAGCGGGAGCGGTTCAGTCAGCAGGCTAGGTTTGTTACTGTTCTTTTGATGTGCTTGTGCTTCTTTGAATAGATCTATAAGGTGGGTGGCTGATCATGATGACCCAAAGATATCAAGCCACAAAATTGATTGAAGTACTCTTCACGCGGGAGCTGGTGGCGAGGCTGAGTACTAAGCAAAAAGACGATGCTGATGGCACCTCGCCGGTGATTATCAACATAGTAAATCCGGGGCTCTGTGCCTCGGACCTTGCTCGAGCCGAGCCGCCTTCGATGATTGCACGGATAGCCCGTCGAATCCTTGAGCGAACAACTGAAGTTGGAGCGAGGACATTGGTGCTCGCGGCCTCGGCTCCGAAGAGCTCCTATGGCGAATTTCAAAGTGACGGGAAGAATCAGAATGTTGAGAGTTGGATCTATACCGAGGAGGGGCGAAGGGTACAGAAGAAGGTCTTCGAGCAGACGCTTGAAGTCCTGGAAGAGCGCCGGCCGGGGGTATCCCTAGAGGCCGGTCTTTGAACAGCAGGGGAGTCGAGCATGGCCGACCAAAGGACCTTAATTTTTGTAGAGACATTACGCAAATTACAACCCTGGAAGTTATTTCAATATTGACTTGGTTAACTTTTCGAGGAGAGATTAAGAATTATTCTGTTGGTAGCTCTAGAGATGAACATACTAATATCAAAAATCACGGATATGTTTTCCCCTCCTCGCAGACCCGCTTAAACACCTCCTGGGTATGCTCCCACACCTTCTCCACCGCGCCCTGCTCTCTCGTCCTCTCAATCTTGGTATTCTTAGGATACGCCTCCCCATCCCAATTTAACCAGTAAGACCCACCCCCCTTAACCCCATCACTACCAACAGCAACATCCCCATCCCCGGCCCCCTTAGCCTCCCCCACCAGCCGCGAAGGATACCTTGGACTCGTGGCCGCAAACAAATGGCGCTCGCCACTCTCCCCAATCGGCACTAAGAAAGGCGACAACACCTTGCCCATAACCGCCGTCAAGACCTTCCCCGCCGGCAGCTCGCGCATCGCCCCCGTCGCCACCCCGGACGGATATGCATGCACAAACGAGGTAGCAGGGTACCGCCGCGACAACTCCTCGAGGAAGAAATTCCCCATCAGTCCCGCATGATGCCCGCACTTCTTGAGCGTGAACGTCTCCTTGAGACTCAGGTCCTTAAAGTCGAGCACCCCCGCCCCGCCCGCCCGCACCGCCACCACCGGATCCAGCACCGAGACCACCCGCGACAGCCCACCAGAACCTTGTCGCTCCGCAGCAGTCGTAAGCAAGGGCATGAGCTGGGTCACGAAACGCATCCGCGCGTAATAATGCAGGACGAACTTCCGGTCGAGCCCCTCGGCGGTCTCGTCGCGGCCCTTCAGGGTCAGGTACCCCGGGGTCATGAAGAGGAGGTTGAGGTGGGATTCCCGGGCGGCAATCTCGGCGCAGACGCGGTCGACATTCGTGAGAAGGGAGATGTCGGCTTGCAGGAAGGTGGGTTGCGCGGCCGGGTTGATGGCTTTTAGGTCAGCGATGGCGCGGTCGGCGGCCGGTTGGCTGCGGCCGATCAGGTAGATTTTTGGGGATGGTGTGTATCGTGCTAGGGTCAGGGCGGTGGAGAGGGAGATGCCGGAGGTGCCGCCTACTTTGGGGGTGTTAGTGGTGATGCATATTGAGGGGGAGAAAGGGCAGTTGCAGCAGCGGGTTGCTGGAGTAGCTGTGTAGGAGGGGAAGGGGGTGCGACGTACCGAATACTGCGACGAGATCGGGGATCGCAGATTTGAGGGTCGCATTGTGCGCTTGGATGGTCTGGAGGGTCACCATCGCTGCTTTTGGTACAAATTTTGCCTGTGATGTCAACGGATAGGTGCTTGAATTGGTGGTTGTCTTAGTGAGGCAGCAGTTTGTGAATCGGGTATCGTATCAGGCTCACGGTGATAAGCTTTGGTGTGATGTTGGTGGATATATCAAGCTCGTGGGATGATGAGATAGGCTGTTGAGGGGCTTGAAAGGGATGTCAGTATCTTTGGTACAAAGGACAATGATAATTCAACAGTGCGTGTGGTATTTAAATCATATTTAAATCAGTGCCAGAACCTTAGGTTTATAACAGTTGAACGGCGATAAGAGCAGTCTTGAGATCAGCGGGGGCTTAATCCCATCCGATCCCGCCAAGGCATAAGCCGAACACGGAAATTCACCTAATCTCCTAAACTCCAGCCAATAGGATTCCATATCGGATGTGGCTGACGTTAGCCACCATTCTGGCTGACATGAGCCACACCTTGCATGCTTGACAGATCATCAACCACAATACAACTGTGTTTTGAGTTCCAGGCATCCGTATGGTCGTCTATGAGCCTATTAGGGGATATTATTTCTAGCTAAGAGGTGGAGCAGACAGTTTCGAGTTGACCCGATCCATGCCTTGAGTTGTAAGCGGCGCCTAGCATAACCCCAAGAAAGTGGATAATGAAACGTTGGCCTTGCATCACGATCATGCGTAAGAGAGTTCGAGACAAGGGCACGTCGCAGTCAATAAGTTCACATTCGACAAGGCTCCGTCGCATCAACTGTCCTCTGCGATCAGTAATTGTGCTGAAAGACCGGTGACCCAAACATTCGACTGATGTATTTCGGCAGTAACAACGGCCAGAGAAGATGGGCTAGGTTTTCTACCTTGCAAGAATCAGTTCTTTCGTCAAGATAGTTCATAACGGGATCTCGATGAAAGGAACAGAATCGATGGTTATAGTCGATCGTAAATCCTATATCATGTAGTCGAAATCAATCCCAGCTAGTTTAGGATCGCTTGGGCAGCTAAATTTCATAGTCTCCTATTCTCTCTCCTCCGGAGTGAAATATCCGGTTTTACTAGTGCAATTGTACGGGAATGCGGAGGGAAGCTGACGACAAGCGAAAGCATCGACTGATCGTCATTTTACAGCGTTTATCCATGACACTAACTCGACCTCTCATGATGCTGACATACGAGCGGTAGCAGCCAGCCACTGCTAGTGATCGTCAGGAACAATGAGCAGAACACCACAAACCCCTGCACAATCGCACTTCTGCTTCCCATGTAGCACTCAGACCGCTACTCCTCAACCCAGTACCTGGATGGCTGGCGCAATTAGTCCACCGGCTTTGCAATACATGCCGAGGTCAACAAGATGCCCAGAAGTACCGAGCAAATGCCAAGACTATGGCACTTGCGGGGTTTGTGGTATGTTCCCAAGGGCTCACTCACTACGTGGCGCCATCGCTGTTTGCAATTGTATGACTGCAAAATCATTCCTCATTGCCTCATCTCGGTAAGAATGGCCTGCAGGTACTAAAGACGCCATGACGTAAAGCGAAGAGTCCCCAGGTAGCAGAAGAACGGGGTGAAGAACCCATGTGGCAGGCTTCCCCTCCCGATTGACGGAAAATCTCCCGAATGGGATGATAGCCCTAAAAGAACAACTCCGGCGGGATATGCACCCCGCAACTTCCTCAGCTCGGAGGACTATAAATTCCCCCGCAAATTTTGCGGAGTACTTGTCCATCAAGTGCGAGAGTCAATTGAAAAACCAAACTCAAGCAACATGAAGCTCACCGGCCTCGCCTCGTTGGTCTTGCCTCTGCTCCTGTCGCCCTTGACGACGGCAAACCCATTGCCCAAGTCCAATCCGAGCACCATCACCACCTACAGCGAGACCGTCATCTTCGACCCGCCCTCCAACTACACCATTCCCCGCACCCTTTATGCGCGTACGCTAGAGCTTCCCTCTGGAGTTCTCCTCTCGACATGGGAGAACTACTCGGGCGACACTGACGGCCTCGTCTACTTCCCCATCTACCGCAGCACCGACCACGGTGCTACCTGGAAGGAGATCTCGCGGGTCGAGGACACGCACAACAAGATCGGGCTGCGCTACCAGCCTTTCCTCTACTACCTGGATCAGAAGCTGGGTGGCTACCCGGCAGGCACGATTCTGCTCGCCGGCAACAGCATCCCCGAGGACCTGTCCACCACGGAGCTCGACCTGTATGCCTCGCGCGATAACGGTGTGACCTGGGAGTTCGTCTCCGAGATTGCCAAGGGCGGCGAAGCGTTGCCGGACAACGGCTTGACCCCGGTGTGGGAGCCGTTCTTGCTGGTGCAGTACGTATCAACCATTGACTGCCTCACCCGCAGCCCATACCCAGTCCTTTCCTCAGTTGCTGACCAAACCTCAGCAAGGGCAAGCTCATTTGCTACTACTCCGACCAACGCGACAACGCGACCTACGGCCAGAAGCTCGTCCACCAGACCACCACCGACCTGAAGAACTGGGGCCCCGTCGTCGATGACGTGTACGTTCACCACGCCCCCTACATCCCTGTCACCCTCAAAACAGAAGACTAAACAAACCACAGCGCTTACCCAACCTACACCGACCGCCCCGGCATGCCCATCCTCGCCCAGGTCAGAACCCCCCTCTGAACAAACCCAACCACCCACCGACCCACCCCCACTAACCTTCCACAAATTCCAGCTCCCGAACAAAGACTACATCTACATCTACGAGTACGGCTCCTTCTTCAACACCTCAACCTACAGCTTCCCGCTCTACTTCCGCATCGCCAGCGACCCGGAGAAGATCGCCGCCGCGGAGGGCCAGCGCCTGGTCGTCTCCGACGGCACGCAGCCCACCTCCTCGCCGTACGTGGTCTGGACCCCCTACGGCGGCAAGCACGGCACCATCATCGCCAGCAGCGGCACCCAGAGCTCGATCTTCGTGAATCAGAATCTGGGCCAGGGCGAGTGGACCGAGATCGCCACCCCGGAGAGCACGAGCTACACCCGGGATCTGCGCGTGCTGAGCGAGGACAATGGGCGGTACTTGCTGATTGCCGGGGGTGGGGTGCTGAATGGCGCGGATAATCAGGTTACGGCCAGTTTGGTGGATTTGAGTACCGTTTTGTAAGGGGGGGAAGCTTAAGGTTGCCTGGGGAAGGGTGATTGTACATATGCATCAGATTGAGGGGAGAAACAGGGGAAGTTTGCTGAGATAAGGAAGGTGGTCTATACATTTATTTGCCACAAGCAGGTGGTTGTAGATATGTGAACATTCATGATATCATTACCATGCGCCTGTGCCCTGCATGCGTCTCTTGCGCGTAGAGGATTCGTGGTGGTCTTTGAATTCCTGTCTCATTATGCAAGGAGAGAAGTCGTGAATCGATAAATAATTCACAATGCCACTGAAGTCGATTTGCAAGGGTTTTCAAGAATCATGCTTGCGGATTCTTTGGAGAAGGTACTTATTCTGGCTATCGGAATAGTAGCGCAGTCCTCGAGAATATGTTGCTGGGTAAAAACTTCGCTTCCTTTTGTCTGTCTTCGAGAGCGCAGAGAGCAGAAGAAACAGGATGTCCCCACTACTCGGATGCGAGTGATTCAGGTCACTCTGGATCGCAAGTTGGGACACGAGGAACTCAGGCAACCCCTAGTAACCACCGCACCAGTTGGAACCCAAGGCTCCTCGGAAGGAGTAGCTGCGATGGATGACGACCGAGACAGGAACAGTGACTCCATTTTAGCGAGTCTAAGGTCTATGCTGTTTGCTACAGCTATACAACATATAGTATCCGATCGGACCCACCAAGGGGGTCCCGACCGGGTCTTCGGCCTGTTGGCCGAATAGTGGAAACAAAGCAGGGATGGTGGTGCACCACATGCGCCGGCGCATCCTCTCATCCCTGTCCCGGCTTGACATCGTATTCTACATCACTTCTAATAATATACTTAGCCCCCTTCCTCACCCCAGTCCCCTCATGCAACAACGCTCCGTTCGACTCCCCGTGCGGGAACAACGCGACCGCGCCCATCACGGGCCGCACGGGGTAGGCGTTGAGCGTGCCTTCCCTGGCCGCCGGCAGGAAGAAAGTCGTCTCACCACCCTCGAACTCATCATTCAGGTAAAGAAGGAATGTGTACATGGAGCTCTGCCGGTTGTCCTCCGGCGAGGCGTCGTAGACGTATTTGTCCTCCGGGGTGATGCCGGACGGCGGCCAGGCGCCGTCGATGTGGCACCGGTACTCGGCCCCCGGGACGTAGCGGTACACGCGGAAGCGGCGGTTGAGGCCGCGGGCCTGACATCCATTGATGGTCTGGGGTACGTGGGGCGCGATGCGGGCCCAGAGCAGGTCGTGAAAGGCGGTATCGACCACCCAGTAGAAGTTGTGGGCCAGGATGCTCATGTCGCCGTCTTCGCGGAGGGGCGCGTCGGGCAGGAAGCCGACCGATTCGCCGGCGGCGATGATGGATTTGCATTCGGCGGGGGAGAGGATATCGAGGGCGAGGCCCAGGCCCGGGACATACGGGTGGGGGTGGTATTTTGTGGGTGGGGGTGTGGACGAGAGTGCGACCGCGTTGGGGGTAGTGGTATAGAGGATGGCCGGGTGGTGGTTGGGGGGCTTGCGCTGGGGGCCGGGCGTTGTTTCTATGATGCGGAGGGCGGAGGGGGAGGTTGGGGCCGATGTGAGGATGGATTTGTCGAGGACGGAGGCGTAAACCTCAAGTGGTGGGCTCGATGGTCGGAGGTCCCAGATGGATTGGAAGGCAATGGGAGATGTGGATGGAACCGCTTCCGGGCTTAGGTCGATGGGGGTGCTGACACGTAGGACAGCATCAAGAACGCTGAGAAGGTCCAAGTCCCTGGCGGTGCGCTCGATAGTGGCCTTTCCTTGCATGCCGGGCTGCGTGGAGAGGCCACTAACGACATCCAGATCTCTCACCCAACGACACAAAGCTCCAATTTTCGGTTGTTCCCCCCTGATCCTCATCTCTGCGAGCAGGACCCTGGCGTCAGTGTATTTCCCGTCGGCCATAGCGCCGGTGATGCGTGCGGTCAGATTAGCGCCCTCTATGAAAATCTGGGTCAGTGGCGAATCTCAAGGAGAGACGAGAATTAACGAACCAGCGCTGTTCACGCCCGTCGTACATGCCTGGCGAAAGTCATAGACCGCGGCCCGAAGATCTTTGCATGCTTTCGACTTGGTCAGGCTGGGATACTGTGTGAGGGTGGTGAGCGTCTCAATCGTGATATCGAGCTCCTCGTCCGAGACGACCGTCTGGAGATTTTTCGGCTCCAGGGAGCCTCCATCTGGCGGGGGCGTTAGAATTGAGGTGGTCTTAAAAGCCTTTTGAGGCAAATCGACCTGATTGTTGCGCTTTCGCTTGGCTGATTTGGACTTGGCCATGGTGATGTGATTGTGCTGGAAGGGGGAAAAGTTGACAGGTTCTCAATCTGGGGATGGAGTCGATGCTGGGCGCAGGATTGTGGGGATGACTAACCCTTATCTGATTCTTGCCGAGGTTTGGACCCACTTTTCGAAGATCGCAAACCTTCGAGTATGTTGAACTTCGTTCTAGTGCTTGTGCAGGCCCAGCAAAAGCTCGCATAGTTCACTAAAGGTGCATCTTTTGAGGTGTCCGGCGGGAGTGATGTTGTGAGCATTTATCGGAATAGCGTCACCCGTACCTTCCTTGCAAGCACAGAAGAAATGCCTCAAGACCGTTGAAGTGACCTCTGAAAATAAATCGAAACAGCAACAAATTCAGATCGTTGCGCGAGGCTGGAAAGTGGAATAATCTATGAATTCCGACCTTTCCATTCTCACCAAGTATCGTAACAATTTATCTCTATGCACAAGTTCCATCTTCTATATTCATATGCGCTCTAATCAACCAGGTGCTGTACAATAAGATCGACTTCTTCATCCACAACCTCGAAGAAATGCTCCGGTGGGTACTTAGCGGTCCAGCCGATCTGGTTGCCGTGGACAGCAGTGAACGAACACCTATTTCGAATCATTAGCATTAAATACCGACAAACAAGCGGAGCAACGTCGATCCACATACTTCCCACCCAGGACCACCGGAACAGCCGACGGTGGCACGCCAAGCGCCTCACCCATTCGAGCTAACACAAACTCATCAGCATCCATGACGACCTCGTCGTCCACAACATTGTGCTTAGCCAGTCCCTTGGCCATGGCCGCATAGACATCGTTCCACGGCAGACTGCCTGAGGCTGCAAGAAAGAACCCTTTTTTCCCATAACCGATCGCGTCACCCGAGAGAATCTTGCGCAGAATTTGGAGATACAGGTCCGCTGTATCAGCGACGTGGCTTACTGGCCAGCTCTAGAAGCGTGTCAGTGGGCATTCTCCTTGATATATACTCAGAAGAAAACTAGTTTTGCTCACCGGGTTATCAGTGTCCACACGGTACACGCGACGCAACTTCTTCGCAGCTCGCACAATGTCGACGTCTTGGATCGAGATCTGATTACCGAACCCTTCTCCTCGTCCGTATACCAGACAAGGCGCGAAGATGTAGCTTCGCACTCCATGGGCTTCTGATATGTCGATCACATTGAGATTGGCATTTGCTGGCTGTACAAATACTTAGTAATCTTGCACCAATGCTCGGGGCAGGGTGTACATACCTCAATGACGAACTCATGCGGCGGCGTCGCATTTTTGACAATGTCATACAGCTCGGGATCGGTGTCCAGTAACGGTCGGTCGTTCGGGATTCCGGCATGACGGCTGAATAGCTTGGCACCGGTGGTTTGCAGAAAATGCACCTCGAGGTTCGTCTCTTGTTTGACGCGTCCGAGGGCTTTGATAAGTGTGGGCTGGTGCTTTCCGGTGAAGGCATCGATCAGGAAGTAAATGATAGTGATCTTCTTGTCGATAATAAGTTGGGTAACGGTCTCATGATCGTTGATGTTCGCTATCAAGGGTTTGGCCCCGTATTGTTTGACTTTCTCGCCTTGCTCAGGTGTTTTGACAAGGGCGTAGAGCGTGTTGTATGGCGGGAGCTTGGCGTTGTTCCAGCGGGCGAGGATCGTCCCGCCAAGGTAGCCCGAGGCCCCGGTAATCAGAATGTTATGCGACATTTTCGAAAGTCAGTTCTCTAAATTGATTGATTTTGCATTGAAGTGATTCATGATATCTTAGGTACTTATATCCACCAAGACGTACTTTTGACAAGACTCACTGCTTCCTTGTTTGTCAACCTGTCAGTCAGCCGTGTGTTGCTTGGTGCCTATCGAATAAGCATTACTAATGGGGGGAGTTGCGGATTTGTCATTTGTCATTCGTTCTTACTCATGACATGAAAAGTGACTTAGGCAACAACATATAACTAGAATGGACCCGGTATACATACTATCTGGGGCATGGAACGGTATCATTCGATTTTCAAGCAGGGAGCAGGGTCTTTCGTGCCCCGGCGATCCTCCGCAACAGACAAACCCCTGACAGATAAACTCTACGCCAGTCGAACCGGTCCGCCCAAGCCCGGTCCCGTACTGGATAAATGTTAAATCAACATAAGCGTACATAGCTTGTCACTATATACTGGTAAATGCAGCAATGAGAGTCTTTCTCGAGTGAGCGGATCTATCTTCATCTTGAATGATCAGCAAAGGCCCGATGTCGGAAATTCCGAGCTTAGCGCGTCCGTACATATATTTGGAGGAAATGGCTACATCATTATCTTGAACCAGTGTTTGTGTATCGCGTGTTTTGAAGGCTTTCGGCCAATTCAGGTATTTCACACCTCGTAAAGTTAACACTTCTGGTCAAAGTCTCGGGAGAACGGCATGAGGCTCTAGCACAATTTGGCCACACGACTAACAATCAATTTACATACATGGTTCCAAATCCAGTGAAGAACAACGACTAAGTACCCGATGACGAAATCATGAAATATCACAATGTACTACAATCTGAGAACCCCGCATCCACTCTTCGCTGCACAGTGTCATCACTTTGCAGCACCCGACTGCTGAGATCCGCCACCCGAGCCGGTGATGCCTTGCTGGGCTGAACCAGAAGACGAGTACGCTGTGCCTGTGTTGGTGCTCGTTGAGCGATCGCCAGCGGCTTGAGCCCGAGCTGCAAAACCACCCGAGCTCATGTCATCCCCGCCTTTGGCCTGCTCATCAATGAGAAGCTGAATCGCCTGAATTGATGGGGGGCTATACCTGGGTTGACTGGATTCGCGAGCTATCTGACTTGCTCATGGGATTTGGCTCTCTGGATTCGTAAGTGTGAGATTAAGATAAATGTTCAGAAGGATTGTTTATACAATGAACGAAATATTGCTAGATGCGTTGTCTCTCTGTTTCTCTTGTTGATGTGAGAAGAACTATCGCTAGCGCTTATGATAATTCAACCGTGATCAAGGCAATCTAGTGTGTGTTCAGAATGATATCATGAGAGGAGGGGATCCGAGACTTTAAATGCTGTGCCTATGGTGAGATGAATGTTCTAGGCCTCGCAATTACTGACTGCATGTGGCGCGTCACACACAGTCTCACAAATCAGTCCACATGACCGAAAATTGTTCGTACGAACCAAGCGTGGATTACCCTCGTCAGCTGGGTTCCGCTAGGCCGTCTACTTTTCCTATCCGCATGTGTTTGCTCCTCGTTCTTGAGAATCGTCTTCTTCCACCGGCTGGTGAAATGTTCGCATACGTTCTAGTCAAGCCATCGCTCCAAGTACCAGTAAATTTAAGACACCACAGAGTCCGAACGAATGCACGATACCTAAATCCCTCTCCTTAAGGTTTATCACATCGGCCAGCCCGACAAGCCACTGAGCGCATCTGCATCTTCGGCACTGCAGAACTCATCGCTATTCACATAGAGCCTGCGCAAAGATTCTGGGATCTCGGTCCGTCTCCACACAATCATTACTTGCGAATTCGTAGCTCATCAAAGAAAAGTAACCGGTTGGACCCGATTATCCCCTTAGTATTCATCAAAAAGCTATAGTTTGTTTCTATCTTCTCACTGAGTTTTGGTGCGGTTTTGCATAATGTTCAGTAAGATCACAGCCTTGCTCCTGGCCGATATTCAACTTTTGGCTTGATGGAGAATGCCTTGAGTCGCCCGTGAAAAATCGATGCTTAACCATTGTAAGCCTTCCCCTGACCAGAGCGTTGACCAAAGCGTTGGTCGGCTGGGAAGATTGTAGCGATTGCGTATGCAAGAGAAGGTACGAGTTTGCGGCGAGCGAGGGAACTCAACGGTCTACTGACGCGGGGAATCTGGAAGCGGATTGCGTCAGTCAGAGTCATTGAAGAGGGCCTCCGGATTACACTCTCAAATCCACGGTACCTGATGCGCCTTGTATACGCGCGGAACAAGCCACCAACAACAATCCATTTCCAGATTATGCATACTCAACAAGTCTCTTATGATACCACGCTCTCGTTCTAGAAAGAAGAGTTTAGCGAATCAACGTGTCGTGCATGCAATTGACTACTGATAAGACTGTCAATTGAAACAAGAATGAGTTGGCTCCGGTCAGGGAGTGTGATTCAAGATGCAGTGTTTTCTTCCGGGGCTAAACTCTCTCGGGGTAGAAGAATGCATTATGTTAAGCTTCTGGACGCTTGGTCCACCATGATAATGTTTACCCTGTGGCGGGGTAGTGAATGATTACAGGGGCGGGATTGAAAGAATTGTATAAGTATAATGAACACGGTTCGCTTGCTGCAATAGGTAATCTTTGGACTGGTGGACGAGGAAGACTACTGTCATCACTACTGTGCCGTGATCTAGGTTTGATTTGCTACTTGATCACCGCAGTACAGTACAACGACATAATTGGGCGGAGGAATTAAGACAGGTGCACTTGAGTAAACCAAGTGTTTTTCAGTCCTCAATTTTGCCGGGGTAACCCTTGCACAAAGCTCTTACAGTCAAGGACGTAGATGCTGAATGTATCGTGTCGTCAGAGAGCATAATTCATCATCAAATCCATCCCACAGTTTCATGGTATCTCTGACAAGATCACTGACACTTGGTCCACATGTCAGTCCCTGAGAGGCTAGTCCACGATTTCGAAAATCCGATACCTTCGATATCTTCGTCGTCTTCGTTGTCTTCGTTTCTTTGTTTGCCTCCAATGTCTTCGTCGTGTTCGACAGGACCTGGCAATACCGGTTCTGGCGTGCCTGGTAGTCCCATCTTGATCCGCTTCCAATAGGTGTACGTCCCGTAGTAGTAACGGAAGGCCTTGTGAAGTTTCCCTTCCACTGCGTCCTGGGACTATGGAAATGTCAGACTCATCGAATCAAAAGCGATCCTTATGCATACCAGCCAGTCCACAAACTCATCCATCAAGGCAGCCTCATCCTCAAACCACTCTTGCTGCTCTTCTGTCAGAGGCTCGTCCTCGGGAAATACCCTCGACAGATCGAAGTCAATCCAAAGCACTCGTTCCGTCTCTCCAGAGCAGACCATCATATTCCTCGGGGCAATGTCACTGTGCAATATCTTCGCCGCGTTGATCTCGGACAGAACGTTCCGCAAAGTCTCCACCCTTGACTTAGTGTAATTGATGAGTTCAAGTTGTTTCATGCCGGGGACATACTCGATCAGAATCGCTTTTGGGGGCAGCTCGTCGTCAGTGAACATGTGCAGATTGGGCCAGAGTGTCAGGTCCGTAAACGTCATGTAGCCGTAGTAGTCAGGGATGACCCCTCGCGCGCAAAGTCCCTTTGCTTTTAGGCGTTCGTAGGATGTCACCTCGCGCATGCACATGCTGATTTCTTCATCTGGATTATCCCACTCCTCTCTAGTATATTCATGGAACTAGGCGGTGTCAAAATGACGAGCAAGCTGAGAGAAACGACTGTTGCGACTCACCACTTTCATAACACAGTCCATTCCGTGCACGGCGACTCTGAAAATCAGCGAGCTCTCACCTTCCTTGAAAGTTTCAAGAAAGGTGACCTCAGAAGGCGAAAGCTCGAGCTCATCTGCAACCATTTCTAATGAAGTAGGATAGAGCTTGATGGGAGATTGATGAAATGTAAGTGGAAGTGACGAGCGTGGAGTCATGTAGACTGAAGAATGATGTGAGAGGCGGGTGCTTGATTCCTTTCGATGATTGACTTGATGCCCCAGGCATCTAATTGTTTCCACCCACCAAGTTTCAGTCCACCTTCCCATTCACTTAGGCTTGAGTAGACCCATTTAACGTGACCTGTTCAGTACGAGCAGAATACTACCTACCGGATGGCATATATAGCATCTAGATCTGTCATTATCTGGCTTGGCATAGTTCTCTGAATGTTCGAAGATATGGGATTTTTCAGTCTCCCACCGCTCAGCCAAAAGAACTGTCAGACGCTGATCCAGCCGATGGTCTATTCTCGAGAATTCCGGCTCCTGTCACACTCTCCTAGATATAGGATACTTTTTTCGGTCGACTAAGTGGATTCTTGAAATATCATATATAAGGATTCGAAGCTCCTGTAAGGTTAATGTGGCACTCCTCTTATCAGCAAAGCTCTTTTTCTTGGGGTAAATCCACCCCGGGTGGCTGTTGCGAGGCCAAACCTACATCCAGGTTCAAGTGGTATTATTCCTTTCTACAGTTTGGATCTATACTTCCACGTGGCTCCTAGGGGTATCGAAGCAACGGCCAAAAAGATTATCAGACATCAATCCAAATCCTGTCAGAATTACAAATCAGATAAAAACGACTAGCCGAAATAGTTCATTAGACTAGCTAGTGTACTTCGGTGCTCGAAGAGGTTTTCTAGTAAAAACCGTGTCATCAAAAGTCCGTCGTGCATTAGGGGTTCAAAGACCAGTCTGAGTTATCTGACGAGAGCATACCCAAGGTCCATAAAGCAAGCAGAACAGTGAGTTGAGGATGTGTCGTGGTACCACTTGCTGTCCAAGGCACTGGAGCAGACACTTACAAATTACCATGATTATCGAGTCGGCGGATCGCGACAAGCTCTCTATTGGTAAGGATAAATCCGTAACGCGCATGATGCTGGATCATGTAGTAGTTAACCTGAGAGAGGACTTGTTTGTATTCTTTTCTGTCCGTGTGTGACGGACTATTTGCCAGTCCGGTGTTCCACTTGTACGAAGGCTTCACATCGCCAGGCAATCTGTTGGACCGTATGTGACTGGGAAGATGTGGGTCGTAAAAGGCGAGATCTGGTGCGCATCTTTCAATACGAGCTGCTGCCTCGCCAGCACCGTAGTACACAACGCTGAATCGGGCAGTCTGTGCTGGATTCAAGAGTGCGAAGCCACAACGCAAAGCTTCTTGCACCCTGTCTGTAAAAGACCGTGCGATCTGATGTACCAGAGTTGATTCTGTCGTGAGGCTATCCATTGGGCTGTTGCGGAATGGATTATCTTGAAGATGAGAAGTGGTCAGGAGTGCACCGTAACGTCTCATGATGTTGTGAATATTGAAGTCACTCCAGATCCCAACACTGCGGATATCTCTGTATCCATATCTACCAGATGCGCTTATTGTGTTGTGCGTGTTCGGGTTCTGCACATCAATAGGTACAGCGGATGGACCATGTTGCAAAAATGCTAGGAGTGAGACATGATGATGTGCCATCGCAGCGACAAATAAACCCCACTCTGCATACGTAGCAGGAGTGGGGCTTGCTGGACTCTTTGGTTGCAGCTGAAGATAACAAGCTATTTGTAACGTTTGAAAAGGGCGGGTATAGGAGAATAGTCATGTATAGAAGGAAGAGAAAGAGAGTAGAAGATAGATCAGAGGAGACTAGAGGAGCCAGCCCTGGGGCTGAAGCTTCAATTCACTACTTCTATAGACAACTCTTGCTCTGTGTTACAATTCACTGGACCCCCCAGTAAATATCAAGACAGTCAATATTTGTTCTTCTATAGGCATCTGCCGTCTCATTTCTATCAGAGTGCCTGTAGCGGTTCGAGTACAAATAACACTACATACAACGGATATAGAAGTGTCTGTTAAGGAAGTGGATGATGGTGGTGGATTTATTTCCGTGAGGCTATCTGAGAGGAACTAACAATATAAATTACTGTCGGCGCAGGGAAGCTGGGCATAGTATTAGCTAAATAGTCCGCTGATTTCACTTGATGAGCTTCGGAATGTGTGATTCAGCAAGCTCTAATGATAAGTAAAATTTGAAGATCCGCCTAGGACATAAGGAAGGTACCATACAAAGCCCAGGAGACTCCTCGCCTCCGCTATACAATCCCTACCCAGTTATATGCCTGCCACATTACCATGACACATACACCGAGACTCTCTCCTCTTATAGCCCAGAACTTGCCTTCCATCACCTTGTCTGAGACCGATTCTTATCAAAAACCAATGAACACATTCTTCGATTTATTGTGTTCCAATAGAGGTTGAGGAGAGAATGCATATCCAAGTGACTCTAATGGGATTCTTGCAGTGTGGATTTGAGTCACCTGCCCGCATGGACTCCGTCGATGAAACACCCTATAACATACGGAGTCTCTATTATCAAGCTGAGAACATCAATTCTACAGAGCAGTGAGGCGACCCAACAGCTTGCTGATCAAAAAAGATCACGGTGTCTTACTACAATCTACCAATATAACTCTATATAATGATTTCCTCTCGCCTCAGTTTCCCCAAGAGCCTGTCGTCACCAAGGAATTCATTTGTGGGCGCGTATGGGAGCACATCGTATCCCGAGCTTCTTGCGCCTTTCGCTACAGATCCAAGTCGCTGAACACGAATAACCCCTCATCTCCACTGAAAGCCTTAATATATGACGGCAGAATTGCGGGCTCATCAACCTTTGACCACTTTGCACCAGACCTAGGCTTCTTCGACGACAGCCTTCCTCGTGAGACAAAATCATACCGAGCCCTTGGAGCGTGCCAACAATTCAAGCAAATGGTCGTTTGCGCTGCAGAGCCATCCGAGCCGGGCAAAGCGACGGAAGTTCAAACAGCTTCTGTCAAAGGTCAATTGGTATATGCGGCAACACCACACGCGTTATGGGTCAACCTGACAGACCGCGAGTTTGTGGCGACTCGGCAGCTGGATGGGCCCGGAAAGGGGAATTTGGAGCTATCAGATCCGGTTCCCTGGAACGCTGCGGGCACGGTCTCTGGCCTGCGACTGACGATTTTTCTCAAAATATGGTATCTGGGGATGCGTGTGGCACATGAAGAGAAATGATTTTTCTGGTGAGGAAGTTAGCTTTGTTTCATCTTGTTCATTGGGGAATTCCTGCCTTATAACTTAAGTTGAAACCTGGGTGGCCTTACTTTAGATAGATATGCAGTCGTGGTTACTGATTGGCTACGTCCTCGCTTCGGGCACGTGTTCAAGGTTGCCCGTGCTGTTAGGCGGTCGCTGGCAGGATGATGAATTTCTCATTTTATTCCTTTATGCTGAAGCAGCCATTCTGGTCATTTCAAAATTTTCTCCTTACAGTCAGAGAAATAATGATGTTTCGTCCTGTTTGTGTTGTGAGTAGTCCGTATCTCTTGCCCGAAGTAGTCTCGGGCGACGCGGCTTGCATGACAGCTGGCCGGCTGGCCGATCAGCTTTCCCTAATCAGCTTCAGCCTCATCAAATAAATCGGGTATATCGGGTTTGGCCTAATTTCCGAGACCAGTCATCTCCCTAATTCACATGCAGCTTGATCACCGCTTCCTGCGACGTATGTGCATGGGCCCTGCCATAAGCACAGCTTAACCTCTTCACGTGTCACCCGTTCGGCGCGTCCATGCAGCTTTCTCCGTATCTGCAACCCATCTCAATACGGCTATCACGAGGCCGAGATCTGAGACCTCGAGCCCCAGAGCAACCGAGCGCCCCAGACCCCCCATAATATGACTTGTATTGATTTGATCCCGGATATGCATATTTGATTTTCGAACGTTATGCTGACCGCACTTCCGCTCAGGACTTTTCACTCGAGCCGCATCGACTCAGACACTTCACCAGCGAATACGAAGTGCCCAGCAGGGTATACACAGGGTGTCCCAAAGACATGCACCTGGGCCGTCCTTTGTAATTCATCTTCCTTTTTCACCGTGCAAAATTAGGTTTCGGCGTACCCTTTATTGCAGGGTTGATGACAAAACATCGGATCCCGCTGGAATGGATACGATGGCCATCAGTCAGCCTGCGGTTGGGCACTGACATCACCATCTCATGTCAAAGCTCAAGCACGCAACGAGCTAGCGACTGACAGCTCGACCATCACCACCCAAGTCCATGGATCGGTAACTCCGGGGGTTAAACCGACGACCCCTCCTGCAAAGTACAGCAAATTAAGGTTCTGGCGTGGCCAGCATGGTGCGGCTGTAGGGCTTAACTCCGGAGATGGATTTCCAATCCGCCAGCCAGTTCCCGCCGGCTTAGGGAGCATTCGATGCATCGAGTAACAGCCTCGTCCGGGGGTCTCTTCTTACTATAAAGATGCTCAATACGGTCGCATGGTTTCTTTATGTAGTCGATTCAAATAGATCTCATTATGATATATATGCAAATCTGATCTAGTGGTTCCATCATATTCTACTCTACTCAACGAAGACCGCCATGAATAGTCTGATCCGTGATGCCCCCCTGGGGCAAGTGATTCGATGGGTGACCAAGAAGAAGTACTTCAAGTACCCCGAAGAAGAGGCAGACTTTGTTTTCCCTCCCGAATACCTACAGGGCCTGGCGCGACTCGGCGTGCCGGGCATCAAAGCCCCACTGGGGAGCCGACCGCAACAAAGCGAACAGAGCAGCTCCATCTTCCACAACCAGCACGCCGATCAAGACCCAGAAAAGCTGTTGGACAAACCAATTCCAGACGATAAGAGCGAGGCTGACACACTACCCCCGGATTTTGTGATGGTGGATTGGTACGGGCCGGACGATCCAGCGAATCCACAGAACTGGACTCAGACGAAGAAGGCATTTGTGGGATTTATCATATTTCTCTACACCTTCATTGTGTATGCAGGGTCTGCGATCTATGTCTCATCAGAGGAGGGGATCATGGCCGAGTTTGGCGTCTCGACCACGGCGTCTGCTCTGGGGCTGTCATTGTATGTGTTAGGGTACGGAGTGGGGCCTCTGTTCTTCTCTCCGCTGTCGGAAGTCCCTTCCATCGGGCGCTCCCCGGTCTACTGCATTACCATGTTCTTGTTTGTGATCATCTCCATTCCACTCCCACTGGTCCACAACTTCGGAGGTCTGCTGGTGCTCCGCTTCTTGCAGGGGTTCTTTGGAAGCCCCTGTCTGGCCACGGGAGGAGCGACAATGCAGGACATCTACTCCTTGCTCTACCTGCCCTTCGCACTCAGTGCCTGGGTCACCGCAGCCTATTGCGGACCCGCTCTGGGCCCGTTGATCTCGGGCTTTGCCGTCTCCGCCATGGGATGGCGATGGTCGCTATGGGAGATCCTGTGGGGAGCCGGCCCCGTCTTCGGCCTCATGTTCCTTCTGCTGCCCGAGACCTCCACCCCTACGCTGCTCCATCAGCGAGCGCGTCGTCTGCGCAAATTGATCGGGTCGAACCACCTCAAATCGCAGTCAGAAATCGTGCAGGCTCAGCTGAAGCCGTCCGCCATCATCATCGACGCCATCATCAAGCCCATCGAAATCACCGTCAAGGACCCCGCCATCCTCTTCGTCCAAGTCTACACAGCCATCGTCTACGGAATCTACTACTCTGTACGTTCCCCTCCCCCCTCCCCCCATCCCAAACCAACACTAACAGCCCCCCTCAAAAGTTCTTCGAAGTCTTCCCCCTCGTCTACCCACCCCTCTACAACTTCACCCTCGGCACCATCGGCCTCGTCTTCCTCTGCGTCCTCGTCGCCTGTCTCCTAGCGGTAGCCATCTACTTCGCCTACCTCCTCTACTACCTCATCCCCCAACTGCTGCGGGGGGTCCCCAAGACCCAAGAGAGCCGACTGGTCCCCGCGCTGATCGGGTGCTTCGGCCCGCCCATCGGCCTGTTCCTGTTTGGGTGGACGGCCAACCGCCACATCCACTGGATCGTGCCCACGATCGGCATCACCATCTACGGCAGCTCGGCGTTCATTGTGCTGCAGTGCGTGTTTGTCTACGTGCCCATGTCGTACCCGGCCTACGCGGCGAGCCTCTTCGCGGCCAACGATTTCTTCCGGTCCGCCATGGCGTGCGGGTCGATCCTGTATGCGCGCCCCATGTTCCTGAATCTGGGGATCGGGAAGGGGGTCAGTTTGTTGGGCGGGCTGAGTACCCTGGGCGTGATTGGGATCTTTGTGCTGTATTGGTATGGGGCGAAGTTGCGGGCGAGGTCGAGGTTTGCGATTTCTTAGGGGTGGTTGGTTTGTCTGGGTCGGGGTAAGAAATAATAGGTTTGGGTGGGGTGGAGGGTTTATCGGGTTATGTGAGTTGGATTAATACTAAGGGTGATTGGTAGATAATTTTTTTGCTGTCTAGAGATACCTAAAATGGATACCTGGTTTGCCAAGTTCATATTTTGCTGTGGACTTGTAAGGTTAGGGGGGGACCTCGCTATGTATTTGCAGAGCGGAGGCATCCTGGGCGACGACAGATATATCTGAATCGCGCATTATGATAACATTGTTGCTCTCCAACAAAATGTGATGCTAAACTTCAATTAAGGCATCACCTCTCAGCTCCAACCTCAGGTAAATGAAATCACATTGCCGCCTGGAATTTGTCACGGTCACATTTGCCTCAACACGAGCCAGCAGTCGGCGGCAATGGAGATACCCGGCAATAGTCTCAGATGGGGGCGGGGCACGTTCAGGTACGGCGACCCCGTCGCTCGAATATCCCACATTGAGAACACAGAACAAGAAGTTGGCTGTTTCTGCAGGAGTGCGCAGTCAGATTGGTGAGTTTGGGCGAGGACAAGCCCTGCAGCCTCGGGTCTAGACTGCTTCCCCGCTGCAGGAACGGGATCCCTCATGAAGAAGGGGGAAAATTACCCGACGGCTGCAATTCACCATGTCAAAGCTTTGATGTGGTGGAGTCAGTGGACATGGGCGATCAATCGGATAAATAGGTAGAGAGATCTTTTTGTTGTGAGTGTGTGATTGAAGATCGGCTGTAACACATGAATTAGCTGGAGCAATGTTACTATATACCTAAGTATATACTGCGGGCTGGGGAATGTCAATATCCCAATACAATCATCTAACCCTTCTGCCAAGACCCATTCCCCCTGCAGCATGTAAGAGCTAGTATCTTGCAGGAGTTGATACAAAGGAGTTCAGCAGATGCACTGTCTGGCCAATCTGCTCCCAGATGTGGTCTGAGAATTCGGATGGTATGCACGTTCTAATGCAGGAGACTGTGTTCATCGGCAACGGATACCCTTCTATCTGAGCTCACACGCCATATCACTATCACATTCTCACAGTTGCATCACATAACCTGCCCTCCAGCTGAACAAGGTGAGCAGTATATTCTCAGGCAGCCACAAGGACGGTTTTCGAGGGAGACACATGCATCAACACAGCTGAACACAGCTGAAAGGGTCGAGCGACACGAGTGGGAAACATCTAGCGACGATGAAGCTATATAAGAGGGGTCAAACCGGCCAGAAACTTCACTCCCATCATCACCGCATTCATCCTTCTCTGCAACTTTTTAGTCTCTCTCCCATTACACATTTCACACATTCTATCTTTCTTTTTGCACCAAAACCAAAGTCATGCCTGTCGTCGCCGCCACCTGGACGCTGCAAAGCACGCCCTCCCAAGCAGCCGAGTCATGCTTCGGTCTGCAGCAGGAGGGCGGCGAGTCCGTCTTCGAAGACGAGCGCCAACTCGTTGACCCCATGCACCTTGCCCCGGGGGCAAGTACCGCTGTAAGAACACTGAACCCACATTCCTCTCTTGTTCCTCACGAGATACTCACCCCATGTCTCTCTCGCAGCCATCGTCAAGCTCTTCATGCACTACGCCGGCCAGTCCCCCAATGACACCCGCTACGCGATGGGCACGGGCTGGCTTATCCGGGACGACCTCCTCGTGACAGCAGGCCACTGCGCCTTCGACTGGAAGGAGGGCTTCGGCCGGGCCAACGAGGTCAAGGCCTACATTGGATACAACGGGAAAGGGTCGATCGACAACCCGTCGGCGAACGTGCAGTTCCGGCACGGGGTGCGCATCGTCACCACCGAGGGGTGGCTGCAGTCGTCCTCGAACCGCCACAACGACGTGGCCTTCATCCAGCTGGACCGTCCCTTCACGGCGGTCACCCCGTTCCAGTTCTCCGACACCCCCGTGGCGGGCTCCGACTCGATCGGGGTGGTCGGGTACCCTGGGGATATGCGGTACAAGGGCGAGCCGGGCGCGCAGATGTACGAGGAGTTCAAGGCCGTGCAGTGGAACCGTCAGGCGGCTGCGAACCACATGCTGGAATATCGGATCGATACTTACAAAGGTAGACACCCAGCCTGCCCCCTTTAACTCTCTTAGCTATGTGAACAACCAGTTAACACATGTACCGATGATAGGTCAATCCGGCTCCCCCGTCCTCCTCGAGAATCAACCCCACATCTCCATCGGCGCCCACGTCTATGGCGACGTAGGCAACAACTCCGCCAGTCCGATCAGCAACAGCAGCTCCAGCACCGCGGACAACCTCGTACTCGGCAATCCCTACACAGACTACATTAGCGTGTTCGAGAGCTCCCAAACCTACCCCGTACAAAAGTCCGACCCGCAAACCGGCATCCAGTACCTGCTGGTCGACCGTCTTGGCCAGCGCCAGACCCGCACCGCGGAAGAGAACTTCTGGGACGACCTCAAAGACGTCCTGCATGTCGGCGCGCCCATCGTCTCCGGCGCTCTGACGACCGTCAGCCCGTTCTTGGGGCCGATCGGGGGCTCCGTGGCCGCGTTAGCTGGCACGGCCATCTCAGCCGCGGCGCAGAAGTGCGCGGAGAGTGGGTTCGTGGATTCCACGCCCACCACCACTACCCTTGTTAGTGGTGCCAACACCACCCTATCTGGAGGAGGTTCGTCCCCCGGCTCGGCGCAGGAGAGTATTCTGGCCGAAGCAGCGCTGCAAGCCTTCCTGAGAGCGGACGCGGAGAAGATGAAGGAGCTGGGGATCAGCACGAAGATCATGGTCGAGTACCAGAAGGCGGCGGCGGACGCAGAGGCGGTGGCGCCCCGGCTTCTGCCGGCGGTGGCCATGCCCGCCGCGCTGCTGGTCGTCCAGGACGTGCTGGCGGGCACCAGCACCGAGTCCGCCATGGTGACCTTCGGGACCGCATCAGCGGCCAAGGTGTCTGCGCTGCGCTCGACGACAGCCACTTCATCGTCCTCGATGGCCTCATTCACCGCGACGATGGCGGGTGAGGAGAGAGAGCTTAGCGCTGATCCCTTCACTACCCGGCTAGTCCGCGCAGCGCAGCATTCCCCCGGAGATGAGAGTTTCTGGAGCACGTTCAGCACGGTACTGTCGGCGGCGAGTCACGGGGTCGGCGCCGTGCAGACGGGGCTGTCGGTGGTGAGTCAGTTGATCCCCTACACCAAGGCCAAGGGGGCGGAGAGTGCTTTCGATTCCTTGGTTGAAGAGGAAACGCCCATGGACCAGCAGATGAAGATCCTGGGCCGTCGCGCCCTGTTGGCCGGGGCGACTTTGCGCGTGCTTCGGGACTTGCCCTCGAGTCAGCTCGACCAGCTCGAACAACTCCCTCTTCCGGTTTCAGTACTGCAGCAGCAGAGTGCGCAGCATCACGGCCTTGTGGATGTCACTGGAGCGGAGGAGGAGAGCTTCTTCACGGCGATCCAGTCGGCAGTGCAGAAGATCGGGCCCTCGGTCATGAAGTACGCCCCCGTCGTGGTCACGGCCGTGCGGCCGGTGATCGCCGCGTTGGCGGCGCCGAAGTTGCAGCAGCAGCAGGCAGAAACGATGGTGACGGCATTCGGGAATGGAGAGTCGAGCTCTGCCTCGTCGAGCGCGCGCGGATCGAATGGGCTGGTGGTGCCGCGCGTCGTCCGGAAGAAGACGAGTCAGAGCTTTTACGATAAGGTTATGGGCGCGAGTCCGACGAACGGTGAGTTTCTGGATGTTCTGGTGAGGTGTGGGCATGAGCTGACCATGATTCCTCCAGGTGTTAGTGTCCGTACTGTCGTTGTGTGAGAGGACCGAGCAGGTTGTGGCTTATCGATCTGCTGAGGTAAAGATGAGTGAGGATGGCAATCGGGATGGGTTGTTCTGGGATGATTGAGCTCAGCTACGCTCTGTGATGTTGTGATGTTATGGTTTATGTGATTGAGATGATATGTTCTGCGATTTTGGTGTGGCTATATACGTGCAACTCTACTCAAGCTATACTTGTTTTGATCTCTAATTTGACATTTTGTCGGAAAGCAGCTGAGCATTCTGAATGACGGTAACTGGGAGCTCCTAATCAGTATGTGGAAGCTGGGTATTTTCTGAAAGCTTGTCCAGTCCGGATTTTAAGTCTTGTTTTTGATGAGAGGCTAGTCATGCTTTACTGTTGTTTCCGGCTGAGAGAAAGTTTCGATACATGAGAGACATGGGATTACGAGAGACCAAATCAATCGTGGGATATGTTATATAATCATACAACATTGAAGCTACCTTGCATCCAGAAACCGCTTAAACAAACACGTTCGTATCACATTACAAGGTTCTCAACCATCCTTCATCAGCCATTACACCCCCTACAACTCGTCCACACTGACCATCTCACCTCGTTGAAGCTCCTCCATCATATTCTGCACCCATCTCGTCATGGTCTCCTGATAAATCTCTTCCCTCTTGATGAGAGGATTCCCAGGATTCGTCGACCTGCCCAAATACGCGCTCTCATCCAACTCCGGCCGCCCGTGCTTCAACAGGTAAACAGCCAGATAATACAGCGTCACGCTATTGGTGATCAAAAGCCCCCCAGCACGGACCACAGGCTGCTGCTGCTGCGGCTCCACCCCCCCTCGCGAAACCCCATCCCACCAAGCCTTCCACGTATGCAATGCGCGCTCCATCGCCGACAGATCCACCGGGAGAATGGACGTCTGCGCCTCCAGCAGTAGCGAATGCATCGCCAGAATCAAGAGGTTCAAATCCCACGCCGTCAGCTTCGACACCCCGCCTTCCTCCAGTCCACCCGCCCGCGCCGCCGCCCCCATCAACCCCTTCACCGACGACTGGAAACAACTCGAGGGATCCTGCGCCGGCAAAGCGGCCCAGCTCGACGCCGACCACGCGCACCAGCTCGCCTCGTCGCACGGGAACGACGCCCGCGTCTCCTGCGGCGAGAGCAGCGGCCTGCTCCCGCACAGCAGCGCCTGGTAGCAGTCCACGGCGTAGACGCCCCACAGCACGCGCTTGCGCGCCTCCTTGGCCACCCACGTCTCCCACGTCCGGGCATTCCGCGTAGCTACCGTGCACTCCCCGTGCACTTTGAGCAGGCCCTGCTGTCGGATGGTGGCGACGACGAGCGGGTGCAGTAGCCGGGCGGCGGCGCGTTCCGCGCTGCCGCCTTTGGCTGTGCTGGCGAATTGGCTGAGGAGTAGGGCTTGGAGGTCGGCGAGGCTGGGTTCCGTTGGGTTGTCCGGTGAGCGGAGGCAGGTTTTGGCAAAGTGGGTGGGGAGGGAGCTGTACAGGCGTTTGGCGTCGGTTGTGGATGTGGGGTCGGTGGTGTTGAGGCCTGCGCCGATGAAGGTGATGGTTCGGATGAGGATGAGGGGCGCAGAGGCCAGGTGGAAGGTCGGGAGATGCATCAGAGGGAAGAGGGGGTGGAAGTGCGTGAAGAAGAGTCTGGCGTAGGTTTCGAGGCGATGCACGGGGATGGTCATGCGGTCGACGGGTTCGGTCTCGAGGGTGAAATCGGCGGGCAGTCGGAAGTTGTCGGGGGAGATGATGGGCCCTATGTTGTGCAGGTGTGTCCCGGGGAGGGGAAGTTGATTTGCTTGCGCTGTTGTTGTTGTTGCTCGTGGTGGTTCAGCGAGAGCAGTGGTCCTGTCCAGGAATGGCGTTTCGGGCGGCGTCCAGTCCCACGATGTCATGTCGCCGAATGTATCGAAGCTTTCGATGTCGGCCAGCTGATTGAGAAAGTCGAGGTCCTCGGTCGACAGGAGACCCGGGGAAAGCCAGTCGGCAGGCGGATCGAGGGCTGGGCTCACGTCGAGGCTGGTGTCCCATCGACCTTCGCTGCCTGTCTGTGGTGGGGATGGAATCGAGCTGGTCTGCCTGGGCGTGGCTCGGCGGGCGCGCTTTTTGCGCTCTGCCCGCTCGCAATGCCAGCCCTTGTGACGGCATCGTGAACAGGGTAATCCAGTTTGATCGAGATTGCAGCGTAGTTTGGAATCGGCGCATCTGATGCAGCTTTTGTTCATCCTTGCAGCGCTGATTGTGGTGGTCGGGAAATGCGAGCAGCGGGAATAGTGATTTCGGACATTTTTCGAACGTTGGGGGTTCGTGGGGGTGGGAAACGTCCCTGAGAAATATTCATAGGGCAGCACGATAAGGATAAGTTGCCGCCTCAGCCTTGTGGCGTTCCCGATCTGCGAATGGCATTGGCTGTGAGGGAGCAGCAAGATCTCTTATCGTGCTCGGGTTTTCGGGTTTTAGTGCAGCGTGTGTCTGCGTATTTCCGAAGTCCCGAAATCCCGATACTTGTGGTTGGGTGCCCTACACGCTGACACTGACTATAACAAGACCAGGCATGCTCCACCAGAATCATGCTTCTATCATCAAAACAAACAGTCATAAATTGGGTCTCATTCTCCAAGAAAGCGATCGTCTCCACATCAGCAGTATGTCGTCGACTGAATCCACCCAAACCACCAAAAGCCCTGCGGCGACACCATCACGCCTCTGGTTCGATCGCTTCTGCTTGTTACGCCGTCGTGAAGATCCACAGTCATTCACACCATGGCAGAAACATCTCATCGTGGCTGTGATCACTCTATCTGCCTTTACCGCGCCGTTTGCATCCTGCATTCTCTTCCCCTCGTTCACCACTCTCGTGGAACACTTTCACACAACAGAAACGCAGGTAGCGTTGACAACGACGGTATTCCTCTTAGGGCTGGCCGTGGCGCCCCTGTGGTGGAGCACGCTAAGCCAGCAATACGGCCGCCGGCCAGTCCTAGTAGCCAGCTTCATCCTCTCCACCATCGCGGTGATTGTCTGCGCCGCGTCCGACTCCCTCGCCCTGATGATTGTGTTCCGCTTGGTCGAGGCGCTGGGCTGTTCCTCCGCGCAGAGCGTGGGTGCGGGCGTGGTCGGTGATGTCTTCCCGCCGACAGAGCGCGGATCCGCCCTGGGGTGGTTCTACCTGGGCACGCTGATCGGACCCCTGCTGGCCCCCATTATCGGCGGTGCGCTCCAGGTCTGGCTCGGATGGCGCTCCATCCTTTACTTCATGGCCATCTTCACCTTCAGCGCCGCCGTCATCACCACGTTCTGCCTTCCCGAGACGCTCGTCAAGCCTACTCCCAACAACGAAACCCAGCAGCAGCAACAGCAGCAACGGTGGTACCAAGCCCTCAAACGGGACATCACGGCCCCGCTCCCCAAGCTGAAATTCCTGCTCGTCCCCTCCATCGCCCTGACCATCGCCTACATCAGCATCTGCTTCGCCAGCCTGTACTGCTTCAACACGACCCTGCCGTACGCCTACGCCGCCCAGCCCTACGACTTCTCCCCGATCGAAATCGGCCTCTGCTACATCAGCAACTGCCTGGGATACGCGATCGGCAGCCTCGTCGGCGGCAAGCTGAGCGACGCCCAGCTGCGCCGGCACCAGGCCGCGCACGGGGGCAAGATCCACCCGACCGCGCGCCTGCGCACGGTGTGGTACGGGGTAGGCTTTGTGCCGGCGGGGTTGGTTATTTATGGGTGGCTGGTCGAGCGCCAGGTGTTTTGGGTTGCGCCGCTCGTCGGCGCGTTTCTGTTCGGGCTGGGGTTGATGCTCGTCACCTCTACGGTCATGCCCTTCCTGGTGGATGTACGGCCGGGCGCCGGTGCGGCTGTCGTTGCGGATCTGAATCTGGTGCGGAATCTGCTGGCGGCGCTTGGCACGGTGGTCTCGCCGATTGCGGCGTCGAGTATTGGGTTTGGGTGGTGGATGACGATTTTGGCGGTGCTTTGTGCTTTGGCGGTAGGGTTCTTGGTTGTTGTAGTTTGGAGGGAGTCGATGGAGGGGAAGGTCGAGGCGGATAGTGGGGTTGTTTGATTTGTGCGGTTTCGTGTCCAGTGTCGTATCCTGTAAATATTCTATAGAACCTGTGTTGAAGCAATTAGATCTGTACTTAATCATGTTGATCTTCGTTCCGTGTGGGTACAATCAGTCTATTTGATCTTGATTTCTTTCTTCGTTGAGTCGGCAGACCACCTGAGAACTAGACATAGGCTCAAGGCCTGGAATGTCCGTCGCATGCTTCCCCTTGAATGTATCATCAGTCACTTTGAACAGTGGTTTTATCCCCCTCGTCTCTACAATCTGGATAAATTGACGAGCAAGGTCATAAATGGCATGTGTCTCATCCGGATGGTAGATGCGAGCAATCTGTTCAGCAGCACTCAAATATCGATCGCGAAAGGCAGGCCAGTGTGCCGTGTGCGGCCCTGGACAGAAGGGGTCGTTCTTGAAGAAAGCATCGACAGCTTGCTGAACACCCTTGAGATCCATCGAGGTGGAGTGACAAAGGTCACAATCCAGGATCCACATGGTATGGGTTCCCAAAATATTTGTGATGGTGTTGCTGCTGCTTCTGGTGTCCGTGGCTCCGTTGTGCTCCGTGCCAGTAACAGTTCGCGACATCGGAGCCAAAACAAATTCGACGTCGTTCGCATCTATCTTCCCAATCAAGTGAAGCGTGGCCAGTGCTTCGCCCATCATGGCAGCATAACAGTCGACATCCTCGGCGCGGATCCCCAGTTCAGCCATCTGATCGACATGAAGGGGGAGGTTTCGGAGGGAAAAGCCTCGAAATCGAGATCGGACGTTCATGGCCGTGCCGTAGGTGCGCTGGCGGCCGATGTACGGTCGGATGAGGCAGGCTTCATTGCTGGCGCTGTGCAGAATCTGCTGGCGAATTACGGGAGGACAATACGTGTCCACGAGAAGACGTCTGATGTGCCCGGGAAAAGGAGGGATTCTCTCGGATAGAATCGCATTACAGGCTGCATATCCGTCTGGGAACCATCGGAGATTTTCTTCCCACCATGAATGATCCTGTGGAGTGATATATTGGTGGCATTGAGGGATACGCGCGTGGAGCTGCGTCAATGAGTTTCTCATGCTGCGCTTAGCGTATGAAAAGTCGATGAAAGCCTCGTATGCTCGGCTGTGCATCGTGAAGTCGTTGGCAAGTGATCGAGATGGTCCTCTATCTTCGCGCTTGATGGCATGCCCTTCTAGGCTTCTTGCCCATACTGTGCCGCAGAAACCTGCGCCAATCCTTTGATAATATTCGTTGGAGTCGGTGGACGTAGTCATGGTGTCAACAAAGATAAGGTTATTGTTAGAAGAAAAAGATCGTCGTTTCGAGACTAAAGAGATGAGATGATTGTTAGAAGAACAAAAATTTCAAGACTGAAACTTCTAAATTGTCTCAAGAGGTGAGGTTTGAGTCACGGGGTGACCACTCCCCACGTCATACTTTATCATGTCTTCGTTATGTGACTTGGAAGTGATCGGAACGCAGATCCGAGCCACGGTAACTAGACTAAACTTGGCTTTCATGATTCCCAGTTAATCGATAGCTTCGACCACTGTTTTTGGCTATCTTGGCTGAAGGCCGAGCCCGAAACCACGTACAGTTTGTACATGAATCAGCTAACACTTAATATCCCAGGTTGAGCATTGACTGCAGCCTGGAAACCTCGATCATGGCACAAACCTGGATCCCTGGAAGAGACTAACCGTCTGCTGCATCACTTCGAACAGACCTTTCTCGAGGTACGAATCCCAAGATCTTTCTATTCTGGATCAGATTTGCGCTGCCGTGGTCTCGGAGTAAGTTGGCAATGTCATCGTCTCCGTTTTTCTCTGCCAACGCCAGCGGTGTCTGCCCTTCAAAATCCATCATGTTTTGGTCCACATTCTTCGCATCCAGCAGTAACCTTACGATCTCGAGGTTCCCACGCTCACCCGCTGCAATCAAAGGGGTCAGTCCCCTCAGATTCTGGCAGTTCACATTTACCCTCTCCGTGGCCAGGAGGAGACGCACGATGCTCATGTAACCAGCACGAACGGCTATGGAGATGGGAGTTACCTTCCAAGGGCCAGTGAAGTCGGGATTGGCGCCGGCAGCAAGGAGTAGCTCCACCGCACCCATATTACCCGCCTCGGTGGCCATCAGGAGCGGGGTGTATCCGCTGGCCCCCGTGATCTCCGTATCGACAACCCCAGTTGCAAGTAGCGCTTCGATGACAGGAACGTGACCACGATGGGTCGCATCCCACAACGGCGTCACGCCTCCGTGATTCTTGTGGTCGGGGTTGGCCTCACCAGTGGCAAGTAGCATGCGAACGACAGCTTCCCGCCCACTCTGCGCTGCTCGACTGAGGGCAGTATCCCCATCATCCTCGTGGGTCGCATCGACCTTGACGGCAGCGCAGGCCAGCAGCCGTGCAACAACCCCGTCGTATCCTCGGCGCGCGGCAATCATCAGCGGCGTATCGTTGCTTTTGCAATCGGTCGCATTCACATCGACCCCAGTGTATGCCAGTAGACAGTCAACGACCGGCTCCAGCTCGTTGTACGCCGCGACTCCCAGCGGGGTCGACCCGGACGCGTTCCACAGGTTGGGATCCACCCGATCATCCGCCAGGAGCAGTCTCATCATGGCTACGTTTCCATCGCGTGCCGCGCACCACAGGGGCGGTTCTGCATGATGTCGATTCGGGTCGAGCTGCGGATGCGCGAGAAGCAATCGTGCCGCATCAATGGATCCGTGACGTGTCGCCCACCACAGAATGGTCTCGCTCCGTTCATTCCCATCGCTCCACATGTTGGGATCTATTCCGTCAGCGGCCAACAGCAGTTGCAGGGTAGGGAGTCGATATCTCCGCAGAGCCCGCCAGAGCGGGGTAGTCCCGTCGGATTCGCTGGCGTTTGGATCGATGCCTGGGTGGGCGAGAAGGATCCGCGCGATTGTCTCGTGGTCTACTGCTCGTGCCAGGGCTGTCTGGCCGCGGTCATTCCGTCGGTTGATTGGGATGCCGTCGACGGTAAGGAGGAGGCGCACAATAGTTTCATAGCCGTGGCTGGCGGCTTTTGGTAAAGCCTCGGCGGCGGCGGTGGCTTGTGTGATGGTGTTGGTCGTCGTCGTCATGGATGAAGCTATAGTTACCGAGTGTGAGGCCTCGAGCCAATGTCTCATGGTTCCTGCGGTGCCCTTGCGCGCGGCCCAAACCAGGGCCTTGCTGTAGTGGCTGGACTTGGAATCATAGCGGTAAACAAAGGGGTTTAGGAGGGTGTAGCAATAGGTGGATGTTCGGGCGAGGGCGTTGATGTCGGCGGTGCTCTGGAGCTTTTCAGCTATACACAGGAGGAGTTCTCCAGGTAGTAAGGGGAGCATCATCTGACCTGGAAGATGGGCTTACGAAAACACGACGCTGGGACCCTCTAGAAGTGGAGATGGGGAAGGGGGGCGGTGGAGCGAGGCTAAGTGAATCGTAGCTCGGCCCGCCCCGATTCTCCGGAGCATCTAAAGGCGGTGAGCCTGTTGCCCCGAGACGCCTGCACGATACATGAATTATTACCTAGTATGGCAAGGCAATCTCAAGTTGATGGTCCAGTCGGTGGTTTTGTCTTCAAGGCAAAGAATTTGATAGATGGAGGCTGATAGAACTATTACATCCATGATTCAGTCTTGCAAGGCTATTCTCCAAAAGTATCATCAGACCATCCGGCTCATTTGTCTTTCATCCCTCCCTTGCTTAAGTGGTAGTGAACGTGGCTTGACCGATGTCCTTTTGAAGTCGGATGAGTGATAATGGAGACTACGGCCTCTAGAGATCAGGGTAAGGAGGCTGGTGAGAAAGAACGGAGGATATGGGACATCAATTGTGGCTGAATCTTAGGTGCTAATTCAGCAAGTCAAATGAGCGCGGCTTTTCTTGGGTCTTAGCCAATCGGGGATAACGTGAGCTACTTGGCTTGCTGCAAATAGGTACCCATTCCTAGCCATCTTTAAGGGCGATTTGCTTCCCTTCCCACTTGGTAGAACACGGAACTACTCACCTTGATCTATCACGAGGCTAAAAGGCGCCGTTTCAGTGCCACTGGTCGGTTTCGGATATAGCCTTGTGCTGAGGTGATAGTTGGTTGTAAGCTCCCACAAAGAACGGAAGAAAAAAGAGTGACGCAGAGCCAATCAGACCGCCAGCCACTTCCGCTGACAGGCTGCAAGCAAGCATGTCCCCGCGTATTAGCCTTTGGTTAGTTGTGGCTGTACTGACCAGTACCTGGGTTGGTGGTGGACTTGACGGCAACCGTTGGCATCCGCCATGCCCTAAATCGGTCTTACTCTTTCCCGGCTACTTCTAGAGCAGAGAAGCACTTTACAAGCCTTGGACGTCGTAACTGACATTATTCTTATTGGTCCTGATCCTCGATTGATGACGTCAGCTGGTCCCCATATCAAAAAGTGTTCAATGTATTCGCTAGTAAGGCTAGTGGTACGGAGGGGATGATTGCGAGTCAGCGAGCCAAACAATTTGCCGACAACGACCTGGACGGACCCCCTGCAAGGCTGCCTAAATAAGTACAGTATAGTCCTGCTTACTCCTTTTGCCTCTTACATCTCTCCTCTCTTTCCCCTTGCTTGCCCACTCACTTTTCTCTCCATCTGTCTCTCTTCTTCTTGTCTTTCAGTTGTGCTCCTGGTGATATCGCCCCCCCCCACAAAAGATACCTCGTCCCTCGTCTTAGCCTCTGACTATCGCCTACTATTGTTGATGCTTAGCATCATGATTCTCGAGATACTCGGCCTGCTAGCCTGTTTATTTCTGTCATGGAGCGTTGCGTCGATGGAAAGAAATTATCGGCGAGCCTCGACTATGAGAATTCCATTGGTGCGCCTCTACACCGATCCATTGAATCCTGTCTGGATGGTTCTTGAGCCCGTGATCTGGCCGTGGCTTGACCGGCTACCCATCCACTGGCGCAACTATAGCTTCGGACGGTACTCCCGCCGCGGCTGGTCCTTTGCCGACCGGGGCGAATCGCATCATCGCTATGGTCCAATCTGGGCAATTGTCACTCCACGCGATGTCTATGTCAACGTCGCCGACCCGGAGGCCATTCATGAGATTTTCCAGCGTCGAACCGACTTCATCCGGCCCAGTCACCTGTACAGTACGTGCGGACCTCTACCTCTTCCTGTCGCCAATCTGCAGACTGTCTGACCCCCCTGCGTTGATATAGAACTGTTGGAGGTTTATGGGCCATGTATATCTACCGCCAGTTGGACGGACTGGCCACGCCACCGGAAGGTCCTTGCTACTCCGTTCAATGAGAGCGTCATGTCCTTTGTGTGGGACGAAAGTGTGGAGCAGACACGCCAGATGCTCGAAGCATGGGATGGTGCCGCGGAGGGTCGGATTGCCAGTGTTGCCAAAGACACGCGCACCTTATCCCTCAACGTACTTGCTGCGACCGGTTTTCGCAAGTCGTTTCCTTTCCAGAGTGCCAATGACCACGGCGTTGGTCAGGAGTCTTATTCCCCTCCTAGCAAAGAGGACGCGGATTCTGCGGTCGCATCGGTAGGCTACCGTGAAGCTCTGCAGACCGTCCTGGACAACTGCATGCTCCTCATGGTCTTGCCGCGGAAATGGCTGACGCTTCCATTTGCGCCTCGATCGTGGCGTCGCATCTCCAAAGCAGCCGATGACTTTCAACGATACATGGTCCGCATGTTGGATGAAGAGACCAAGGCTTTGAACCACGGTCAAGCTGGCAGTGGGGGTCTAATGACATCGTTCGTGCGGGCCATGGATCTGAAGCAGAAGGCAGACGCGGAGGGGGGCACTGGAGCTGCTGGCTCCCCACCCAAGGGCCTTACGGTGGATGAGATATTCGGGAACATTTTTGTCATCAACTTTGCGGGCCACGATACCACCGCCAATACGCTTGCCTTTAGTTTACTGCTGCTGGCAGCATATCCCGAGGTTCAGGATTGGGTGGCCGAGGAGTTGCAGGGACTCACCGAAGAACAGATCAAGAATCACTATACTGATCTCTTCCCACGCCTTTGTCGCTGTCGATCCATTATAGTGAGTCAATCCTGCGCACATTTCCAGGTCTGGTACTGTCTTGTATCCACAAACCCACTGACAACGAGAAATGTGTTTCTATGCTTCCGATCGGACAGCTCGAGACTCTCCGCCTGTTCCCCCCAATTCAATCCTTGCCGAAGTGGACTAGCAGCGAGCCGCAATCCCTTCAAGTCGGGGATCGGACGATTGTCATCCCCAACGACGTCGGAGTTCACCCTAGCCTGCTCGCCATGCACATTGACGCTCGGTACTGGAGTGACCCAATGGCCTGGAAGCCATCGCGCTGGATCACGGTGGCCGAAGCGTCCGAGCGGGTCATTACCCCAGCGCGCAGTAGCTTTCTGCCCTGGTCGGACGGACCACAGAACTGCCCCGGGAATAAGTTCTCGCAGGTAGAGTTTGTCGCCGTCATGGCTACTCTCCTGCGGACCCATCGTGTGGACGCAATTGCCAAACCCGGCGAAAGTTTCCGGGAAACCCAAGCAAGGGTTCTGGCGACTACGCAGGACGTGGACATGCTGCTGCTGCTGCGCATGACGGATGCGGATCGCGTGCGGATGGTGATACGTCGCGTAGCATGAGGCATCGTGCAGGTTCAAGTGCGTTTTGCTCGTGTATCATTGGAAAGGTGCTTGGATTCATATCTGTACCAGAAACAAGTCCACCTTGTATTAGTGTGTGAGGCTCTCTTCTTAAAACTATTTAAAAAATCTTTCACTATTCTACGGTAATCAACTTAGGGCGTACTACAACTTAGCGGTAATGATGCCTTCTGGTAGACCGAGACTGGATGGGTATCTGCGTTTGTTCATAGAAGAGCGATCAAAGTACGTTTTCTTTCGAGCCTATGGAAAGTAAATTGTCCCGACTTCCTTGAGGCTGGACTGCCCTGCTTCTTTTGGATTGTGATTGGAAAGGTGCTTAGAAAGGTGCTTAGAAAAATGCTTACAATAGTGCTATGAAGGTACTTGTACTCCTAGTTAAGAATCTATAAGTTTTATAGTAAAGGTACTAAGAGACAAACATTATATCTACACAATAGCAGTGATTATCTACGCACTAGCAATAGAGTATATCAGTGATATTAAGATACAGGCGTAGCGCTCTCCCTCAGTAGACGAAGGCATGGCAGCCAGTCTATTCATGAGATTTCCTTGCCACGGGACAACACTCCAGTCCGGATCTGTCTCCGAGCGGAGATGAGTAGACGTCTTTCTGCACAACCCTAAGGATTCACTGTATTCATGCGGTGAATCATCGAAGTGGCACTAGGTGAACACCTGATACTTGTCCTTCACTATGGTACTATGTACTCTATCTGGTTCAGCGCTGCCATAATACAACAGACGGGCTTACTCTTCCAATGCACAAGCAATAGAGTGGTTCAAGCTAGCTCCTTCCCGATTCACGCTGCATGCAGAATTCCTTCCTACTACCTACCTCAGACACCCTTCCCGCATCTTCCCTACGCGATTGAGCTCTGTTTCTCTCCCGCAAGCATCACATCCTCTTTCTTATAAGCCTTTCACGAGCGAAGGTTCTGCATTTGATCCTTCCTAGCTATCAGCGAGTTCCAAGACCAAATCAGCCAGCAGTTCAATTAATAAGGGCGCTCTTAAACCAGAATTTTGCCCTCTTTCTTGCGAACCAGGATCCATGGAGAAAGTCATGATGAATGTCCACACGTCCGCAAGAGCCTTTCCTCGCCAATATTGTCTCCTGGCAAAGCCTCGGACCGACGGCCATTAAGGCCATGATCGCCCTGACCCTGTGTCTAATCACACTAGGGGCCTTGTGGCTGGTAGCGAAAGCAGATCTCCTTGGAAAAGGCCCGGGTAAATACACGGCAAGTTCATAGTCGATCCAATCAAGGTTTCTCTGTTTGTCTCTGCTTGTCGGCGCTTCCCCGCTGGTCGCGTCTTTAACTATTTGCGTCTCTTCCTTTTCAAGTGTGTGTGAGAGAGAAGGAAGGCTAACAGTTTTGCTTACATAGATCTTATCTACCGAATATATCGTATACACCCTCTTCGGAGCAAGACCTTCGCCGTATCGTCAATATGCTTGGAACCCAGTTATGGTTTTGTTAATCAGCTCGGAAGAGAAATGAATAAGCATTGATGAGTGGCTCTAGAACGAGCTCCCGGCCCAACGAAGCACTCGTTAGAGGTCGCCTAGCTGTCTTTCTTCAGGCATTATTAAGAGTCATTCGTCCCCCGACATCCCTGATTATGGAGTTCATTTGGAGAACGAGACGCCTATGCAGGCGTAGTTCTCGGGTCGCCGAATCCAACTGGAAGGAAAAGTTGACTAGTCCCTTCGCTACGGGGACGAGGACGATAATTGGAAGCACCCAGTAGCCATTGAGGCGAGAGTCTATGAGCGGGGGGGTGGCACAGCTTCTCGCATACATGCGCTAGTAGACACTGACTTTGGGGGGTCTTCAAAAAGCTTGTTGTATTGATCAAGTATCCAAGTAGTCGTCGTCCGACACTACCAGCAAGCTGCTGGCAAACCTGCTCGGCCAATATTCGGTTTGTTGTCGGACGGTGATCGCTTCCACTTACATCGCCTCCATGAGAACAGGGTAAGTACTAGAGGAAGCTTTTGGGTGAGGTCAGTCTCGAAGAGCCTTATAGTACTGCTGCCTCGAGCTGCGTTGGATTGATCCGGAAGACCGACAGCGAATCCTGGATCTATTGGCCAAGCTGTGTAGAGAAGCGATGGCGGCGGCGACTCCACGAGGGAGCGGGGCATTCCTGTTAGGGGTGTTTGTGTCGTTCTTTTTTTGTCCACCTTGCGTACGGCATTGCTTTTCGAGTAATGTACATATTACCTGGGATGGTACCTGACCAAGAGTTCGAACGACAATCAAGCTTTTACTTTCCTTCATGTTCGAGAGGGATTGTTTTTGTCGGTTGCGGTAAGACCGAGTACAGAACTGGGATTATAAGTATTATAGAAATGCACAGTAGACCACGACCCATCACCACTCCTGAATGCCATCCCTGGTCAACACCCTCCCCACATCCCCATCGCGCTCCCCCTCCACCACCGCCCGAATGAACGGGCCCGCCACCGCCGGATCCCCGGCACCCATCGCCCTCATCTGCGCGGGACTGCCCCCCAGCCCCGTGGCAAGATACCCCGGCGAGATGGCGAAGACCTTGACCCCATCCGGCTGCAGGATGCGATGCCACTCGCGCATCAGCATGTTGAGGCCGGTCTTGGCGCTGCGGTAGGCCGGCACGCCGCCCGCCCCGGGCCCGGAGGGGGGTTTCGGCCACCCGGTCGCGGTCGGGGCCCGGTTGACGGCGATCGCCAGGTTCTCGGTTCCGGCGAGCGTGGCGGTCCCCGAGGTGATGAAGAGTAAGCGGGGGTCGTCGCTTTGGAGTAGCAGTGGGATGAATTTCGAGGTCACGATCTGCGTGCTGGTCGTGTTGACGCTCCAGGTTTTGTTCCAGAGGTCGCGTTCTGATGTCAGGTCACCGCGTGTGGCTGGGGATTCAAAGGATGCGCCTGTTCTCAAGGGTGTGAGATTTCTTTCATGTGGAATGAGTAGGATGGGGAGGAGGGGAGGGGGGCCTTGAGGACTCGTATGGTACTATACTGCATTGTACATGTACTACGCACCTGCATTGTTGATTAGAACGTCTACCCGACCGTGGGTTGACGAGATCTCTTCGTAGGCCTGTTGAATGGATGCGTCGTCTTCAATGTCAATGATGATCGGAGTGAGTGTGCTGGACGAGTTGGGAAATTCCGTCTGAATGGCTTGAATGGCGTCGTGGGCTTTGGTGGCCGAGCGGGCGCCGACGAGGATGTGGTAGCTCCGGGGGGAGTCGCTGAGTGCGCGGACGATCTGGAAGCCGATGCCGGTGTTAGCGCCGGTGATGAAGACGACGGTGGATGCCATTGTTGTTTCCTTGGGAGATGGGCTGTTTTTGAGTCGAGGGTTTCTTGACTGGAAGATATGTTATGTTGCGTGATGCAAGACCTCGCATGCTTTTATACGGTCGGAAATAATATTGCGCGTGGTCGTGCTCAGACAGAGACCCGGACATGAGGCCGTAGACCGAAGCTCCAGGTAGCTTAAGTCCGTTGCTTCCCCACAATTGCCGGGGACCACGGTGCGGGAGCCCCACTCATCCAGATGCCCCGATCGCTCAGCGCTGCAACCATCGCAACCGATGAGAGAACCAACGGAGAGCAGAGGGCAATATTAAATGATGATGTTGCGCAACGGCCACCGATCATAAAGCTCATAGACAGTGCTTTAATAGGTGGGTTATCACTGCCCTGTTGACTTACAAGGTTCATGAAGCTATATATATCACGGTGGGATAGCCCTTGGTGTTCATTGAGATGGTTATCTAATTACAACATGATGCTGTAGCGGCTACAAGGTCTGAATCTTACCTGCTTAGTCAACTTCCGCTAGCTGGCCTCAGGCACCCCCGGCCACCGAGGCCTCGGTCAATTCCGTTCAACATGCCCCTCGCCAGCCTCATTCAACTGGATAAGTTACGGAGGGGAAGGGCGGGAAAGAGGGGAGGTTAATACTCCGCCGTCACATGACACTACCAATGTGCCTGCTGGCAAAGCAAGCGGCATATCTATTAGAACTCTGGCCCCGTTGCAGCATGTCACCTTTTAACATACCTGGGCGGAGCGAGTCATGCAAATGACGCTTGCAAATGATGGCAGAGAGCATAGAGCCAAGAAAGACCTGCACTGCACATTCAACCGGTGCCTGATCACACAGGTCACTCAACAGCACTACTGCTTAACGCTGTTGACGTCGTGCTCGATCGGTGCGACCAAGCCACATCTCAAGTCGGGTATGGGTGATCTGCACCGGGTAGACAGATCTGAAATAGATAAGCTCGGGAGCCAGACGGTCCACCGCAGCCCAGGCCACCCGACTCGATGAAACATGTTCTGGCCACATCAGCACAAAGTCCGAAACACCGCACTGCAACACCACAGACACTCGACGGGTATGGGAGATCCGAGAAAGTCAATCGAGTAGTCATTGAAGTCAACACAGGACCACAAGCAAGTTCTATTGACCTACCGCTGACGTCAGCGTAAAGTCAATTCCAATGCATATGAACCCTGCCATAGCCTTTGCCCAGATTCTAATCCATGCCTCCTTCATGATCCCCTCTTCAACGTCTCACCTGCCGTCCACATCGACACGAAAAAAAACATCCCAGAATGTCCCTCAGCCTAGTCACCCGAACCGTCCTGCGCAACTCCCCACACGCGCTAATCCCCGCGCTCAACATCCAAACCGCCCCCGTCAGTAGTGATATTGGACCCAAGCGAGCAGAGACGCCCGAATACGTCGTGACTCCCAGCAGGGGGACGTACGACACCACCAAAGTCCCCAGCTTCAAGGCCTACGAAACCCGCGGACCGCCTCGGAGCCAGCAGAATATCGCGTATTTCATGGCAGGAGCGCTGGGTGTGACCACGGCTGTGGGAGCCAAGGATACGGTTGCGAGTTAGTTGAGCAATACCCGATTCCAGATCATGTCTTGTCATAGAAGGTCTTCGAGCCAGAGAAATCTAACAGGTATATCGGAAATTGTATAGGTTTTCTGGCCAACATGTCCGCATCCGCTGATGTCCTCGCGCAAGCAAAGGTCGAGATTAGCCTCGGTGCCATCCCCGAGGGGAAGAATGTATGAGCATGGATGTACCCCGGAGGATTCAACTCAGACGGATGCTGAAAGTGTTACACACCCAGGTCATCATCAAGTGGCGTGGCAAGCCTGTCTTTATCCGGCATCGCACGCAGAATGAGGTTGAGGAGGCGCGCAAGACGGACTGGAAGTCTCTCCGCGATCCGCAGCCGGACGAGGACCGTGTGCTGAAGCCGGAGTGGTTGATTATGCTGGGTAGGATATTCTTTCCTTTCAGACGATTGAGAACAGTTGAGACTGGTGTGAGTATTTGTAGGTCAGGTACCGATCGCTGACTTGAATCTCAAGGTGTTTGCACGCATCTTGGTTGCGTGCCCATCGGCGAGTCTGGTGACTTTGGAGGCTGGTTCTGTCCGTGCCATGGATCGCACTATGACATCTCCGGACGGGCGCGCAAGGGCCCCGCCCCGACCAATCTCGAGGTTCCACAGTATAGCTTCCCGACCGAGGACACGCTGGTTATTGGATAGAGGGGGACTTGAGTAAGATTTCGGCCGATTCAACTTGCGTACAAGGATTCTGCGCGTTTACCTCCAGTTTGAGAGGCATCGAGCACATTACTCTCATCTCAGTGTCAAACGGTGACAGACTCGATAAATACACATAGAAGAGGACAATGATGACAGAATAAATAACACGGCGAATGACAACACACTAAATCTCAAGACATTGACCGTACCTGAGAGACCAGAGAGTTATTCTTTGAGAGCCTCTTTTTCGCGGGCCAAGACAAAACGAATCAGCCCTCCTCGCCCTTGCCAAGGCTGCCTCTTCTCACGAGATGCATACGCCCAGCCACACCCCCCCGACAGCCCCAGCTCCCGCTGTTGTGGAAGGTACCCATACGCAACCTCGCGCGTCAGATACTGCGAGCTCTCCACGGATCCCCAGACCGCCCGCCCCGACGCCTCCTTCGCCGTATCCGGTTTCTCGGCGGCGTAATTGGCGCGCAGGAACACCGGGTGATGCTTGTTTTTCACGTAGACATGCGCCGTCATGTGGGAACCCTTGGCCAGGTGGGTCGCGTTCTTGTAGCAGATCGTCATGTGCCAGGTGTTCCGGAGCTGTTTGGTTCGGCCCCTTTTTTGGTACCGCGTGAGGTGGATGGAGGATCTGGTGGGTGGGCGAAAGGGAGTTGGGTTAGCCTTCTGTGGGATCTGGATGCCCTGCCCCTGTAGCCTGGCTTGTGCCGGGATGGCTGGAAGGAAGCTTGGGAGGTGGGGAGAAATTTGAACATGGATGCCTTCGGCTCCGTACCTGATTAGGATGGCCTTAGGATATTGTCCCTCGGCACTGGCCGCCCGATAGGCGAGAGACATGATGGTCGGGAGGGTGACGGTCCGAAAGCATGGGAGCAGATGCTTGGGGATGTGGTATTTGACGATATTGGTGGTCGGTGGGTGACGGGTGTGGGTGTACCGTATCATAGAGGCTGCTGTGCTTGGCATTGGTGATTGGTTGGAGGGTTCGCTTGGATGGGAGGAAATGAGAAAGTTGAGGAAATTCAGTCGAACTTGCGAAGGGGAGGGATATTGAAAGTGATGGCGCGTCTGTTGGAGAGCTTGCGACGATGACGCGCGAGGGAGAAGAGAAGGTGGTCGGGGCGTGGTCAGAATACGTGCTTTTGTTGACCCCCCGGCCTCCTTAGTGTTACCCCGCATTTGATGCATGGATGGGGGGTGAGATGTCACTTTGTCAGGCACAACCGGGGTAGTGATTGGTCTAGCTGATCAATGGGATGGTCTAGCCGCCGACTGGGACGATTATCTTAGAATGTGCAAGGTGGCATAAGGAGTGTAGTTTTGTGGATTTATCTGTCAACCTTGCTGTTTCTAGGGGTTCTTGATCCACAATCTTCGACTTTTTCCCCCGCTTTGGATTGACTTTGGTATTGGCCCACACACTAGTCTATGGTTGACCGGATCGATGGACGTGAGAAAGGTGGAAGATATTCAAGAGGTTGTTTTCCTGTTCCTCTCCGCAAACAAATGACCTCTGACATCTCTCCTGACTTAGCAGCGTTGATACAAAGACCACAACTACCATCACAAAGCACTGCATTCTCCGTGATATTCAACTTCTCATCACATATTTGGAATAATACCAACACTCTGGTCGATCTCTTCGATCCAGGTATCCTCTCAGCAAGGCTCAAACCTTCGATCTCACCTACAAGACTGGTAGACTCTTCAGCCATGGTTATGGAGCACAGGGCAGGCTCGAAAGATGCCGGAGGTAGGCTTTGCTCGCGGTAATCTCAGTGAGACGAAATGATCCCAGAGTAGGTTGCGGGGTAAGACAGAATGGTAGGAAGATGCCGGACTTGAATGCTGGACTTACCATTTGTCAGGGACGTCTGCTCGGTCAACTATCTTACACTGTAGTTCATCGAAGTTAGGGGGCGTTTCCTCCAGCTTCTTTGTATATGTTCAGAGCAGATCGTTGCCCGAGTGATCTACTCTAGGACGACGGTCCCCACAGTCTCACAGGCAGAGTGTCGGAGGAATGGACTTGACTTTTATCAAGACAGACAGTCACAGGTACGACGAACATGAAAGAGCATGCCAGATCTTTATCTCAGCCCATGGCACAGCCGCAACAACATCGTGTACTCTACTCATGAAATCTCAATCCGCATGGCCCTAATCTTTATGATAAACAAAAGCATGACGACCACCGCCATGGGACTCCTCTCAGGGCGATTTCATTGCAAGCTGGGCGTGCCTGATGAGACAGTGGGTCGACCCCTCATAGTGAAACCTCCCCAACTCGCCACCCTTGCGGACATAGTCGCCCTGCTTGACTGTAATGTCACATGTGGAAACCTCTGTCATGCCGACGCCGAAGAACGCCACCGTTCCGAGGGCCGGGTGATCGGCCTCGATGAAGATCACCGCGCGGGTGGCCACCGAGGTGAGGTACGGCTGCGCGGCAATTGGTTCACTTCGTCGAGATAGTTCATAGCTCTGCTCCTGCGCGGCGACATCGATGATCAGGGGCTCCGAGAAGTAGGTCCCATTCAACGTGAAGGCTTCCGCGATGCTGCCTGAGACCGGCGCGTGCCAGAGATTGTAGCTCAGGGAGCCCAAGAAAGCTTCGTAGGCCGTGCCCCCGCTGAATTTCTCGGACAGCGGATCACCACCAAGCATGTCCACAATCGAATACGACCGTTCCTTGACCCAGAACTGATCGTGGGCGCTCATGTTGTGCTGCACCTTGGTCAGGTAGGATATTAATTAAGTCAAGTAGTCGAGCCCAGGTGTCAGTATGATAAACCCGTGGGCCTTATCCGAAATCCGGATGGAGGGTATGTAATCCACCCGCTGCATGCGGGCCGTTGATCCACATCGAGCAGTAAGCCAATCGGAGGGCAGCTCAGCTGTCAGCACGTTAGCTCCAGAGTCTTAAAGTCCGAAATCCGAAGCGGATATAGCCTTACTGTGCGGGTCATCGAGCCACATCGAGGAGCGTACGAATTGCACGAACTATATGTTGTCTCGCAAACCAACCCCTGCGGTGAACCCTGGTAGGGTTTGAGGTGCAGCACCCCAGCAAAGAATATCACGTCGACTATTTAAGATTGCCGATTCCACGCCCCAACCCTTCCCCCTCCCCCCCCCCAAAAAAAAAGAGGCTTGCAATCGGGGTGCAAAATATAAGCTTAACTCAAGAATTCAGTTCAGTTTACAAGAATTCTTTCTACCACTACACCATCATTACCAACAGTCAGCCCTTGATATCAAGCCCTTTAGAATGCATCTTATCCTTACAGGAGCCACCGGCTTGGTAGGCTCATCCGTGCTCGATGCTATGCTCAAGAATAAGACCGTCTCCAGAATCTCGATTCTAAGTCGGAGACCCGTGCCAATGGCAGATGATGCTAAAGATCCACGGGTCCGCGTGATCCTCCACGAAAACTTTGAGGTCTACGGACCAGAGCTGCTGGATCAGCTGCAAGACGCTGAGGGATGTGTCTGGGCTTTGGGAACGAGCTCAACCAATGTCAACGCCGAGTACGGCAGCCCCCCACACCTTTCCCCCTTTCGCTGAGGGGATGAATTAAGCATGTTACTGCAATTTGCTAATACCAGGATAGCCAGTATGTCAAGATCACCAAAGATTATGCTCTTGCAGCGGCCGATACATTTTCCACCCTCAAATCTTCTTCCTCCCAGCACCCTTTCCGATTTATCTACGTCTCGGGTGAAGGAGCCACACACAACCCCGGTCGCTTCTCTCCGATCTTTGCACGAGTCAAAGGCGAAACCGAACAGCTGCTGGGTAAGCTGTCGGAGCAGATCCCCACCCGCCTCCGGGCCGACAGCATGAGACCGGGCTTCGTCGACCCGGCCACGCACCTGGCGATTCAGCCGTACATTCCTGCGCAGGGAATGAAGGGGTTCTTTCCGAGGATGGGAGTGGCCCTGAGCGTGCCTGTTTTCCGGTATGCGCTGACAGGGATGCACTCGCCGACTGAACGCCTGGGAACCTTCTTGACCGAAATGGCGATGGGCAAGGTGGAAGGGCATCTTGAGGGATCAGGAGCCTTGAGAGTCGGGGGCGGATGGGTGGTTCAGAATAAGGGGATGAGAAGGATATTAGGATTGGATTCTTAATGAATAATAGAATTGATTGTGGTTATGTAACCTTGCCTTTATCAGAGTTCGATTTCTTGAATCAAGCATGAAAGATTCTCAGAATTTTATGAACGAGAATATATTACTTTATGGCTTTCCTTCTGGATTTTTTGAGAACCCATTTGAGTAGATTGATGGATATTCCATACAGAATGGGTAGAGTAGGGATCAGTGAGAAGCTAGGTGAGGGTCCACCAACGAGACAGCTCATTCTATACTTTGACAAGAGTATTCCCATGGTTGTAGCATTTATTGTCTTCTCTTCTGGAGTAAAAGGCAGAACTTAAGAAGTAAAAAGACAAATAAAGTAGTATTATTGGGGGCATTGCCTTAACGACAGAGCTTGCTGCAGGATTAATGACTCTCGAAACCAACCGGTCTAAGACCAATCGGAACCGATGCAAAAAGAAAAAAGAATTGACCTACGCAGGGCTCGAACCTGCAATCTCTTGATTCGTAGTCAAGCGCCTTACCATTGGGCCAGCAGGCCAGCTGTTGAAAAACATCTGACTTATGCTTTATATAATCTTTATAATCCATACCAAGATTTATCCATGCAGGAGTAGCTGCCTTTGCTCCTCCATCGTTTGAATGCCCTTAGAAGATGCATATGACAACGAGATATATAAAATTAATGTGGAGATGTCAGTCTATTTACACTAAGTCTAAGTCAGTCTGCCAAGTGGCAAAGTCCGAATTGCCTCGCGTTGCTTTTTTGTACAGGTCCTCTTCTCGAAACTATATATCCTGCTGCCGCACCCGAAACCCTAAGTGCATGCTCAGAGGTTGTCAAGCCTTTACAAGAAAAAGTTGCATTTCAGATCGAACACCCAAATCCAAAACCTCGATCTCTACAAGTACAGTCCTACACTCTCTATGGCAATATTTATTCTTTATCTAGCGGTCAGACATACTGCACACGTTAGGACTACTATGGTATCTTTCATTATCTCCCCCAATCCCGTTCCAGGCAAGTCTTCTGCAACTATTACAGGCGCATCCGCGCCATCAAATTATAGAACCGAACAAAGATGAATCCGAGGTCAAGTATTTTCTAAATTCGCTTATCGCGAGAACGACTTTAAGTTCAAATATAACCAGAAGCATGCCCTCTTTACACGCTCAGACAAACCAAACTTACAGTCAACACCCACACCTTATTTCTTCCAATGCCATACCATGCCGGTACCCACCGGCCAGATCGTCACCTCCGACGTCCTCAACCAAGGCATCACCACCATGTATACATATTCGTCAATGTGCTTTCGATCCCTCTCCAGGTGAAACGTGACTCGGATCTCATCGGTCTCAGAAGTATATTTTCCAAATCGCTGAAGCCCGTCGTCCCCGTATCGACGATTTTCCTCTGGGGTGAATTCTCGGTAGATGTGTACCCAGGAACCGCTTCGGATGAAGCCGAACTGGATCATCAGCTGGGGATTTTCGGCGCGGGACTTAAGCATATGGCTCAGAAGCAAGTCTTCGAACGCGGACCAACCATATTCGTTCACGTCCTGCGGGGGGACCGGTAAGTCGAGGATGTGGTGGTCAGACATGTTAAGTCAGTGGGGAGGTGGGTCTCGCCTTCTTCTTAGTCGACTGCTTTGAGTAGCGAAGAAGACTTGATGGAGTGAGGTGGGAAGTCAGGTGGCGATGGACCATTTGTGGGGATTCAAGGTTGCCTTTTATATCTCTAGGGTTTACCAACTGTCGCTTGTTACTCAGTATTGATAGATAGAAGCTGCATCATCTCTCAACAAAAGGCGTGTTCTCAGTCGATGTGTTCGCCTGGAGCCGAATTCTATCTTGCAAGAGAAAGGCTGTCGTGGCCTTCTCTGTAGTTACCCTGGGCTTTGTTTGGTGTACAAAGAAGACAATTATTTTTGACTCGCAAGCATCTTCACAAAGGTCTCTAGTTTGGGGCGACTAAAAACATCACATAAAGCTTTCAAGTATGGTTCAGCCTCATCTTAAAGCTTCTGGTGGATTCCCAGCTCGACTTGTGCGCCATTAGATAGTTTGGTGCAGCTGACAATTGAGTAAAGAAGCAAACTAACAGCACAGCCTCGGTCCGATTCCCTCTTTTCCTGTCTTTGTGCTCAGCTGGAGAAAAGCCTCAAGGTTGACGAAAGCATCCCAGAGATGGAAGTTCCAACGCAAGCGGGGGATCTTTTGGACCAGCGGCTTCGCAATTTCGATACCTTGCTGGCGTATTCCCTAGCTACGCGGTATTGTGCCGGGACACTTTGGACCAGGTTCGGGTTAGTGGAGTCGTTGGAGGGAAATAACAAGGAGATCAGAAATGTTGTCATCGACTGTTTGGTACTAGTGACAACTGTTTGGTACTAGTGACAACTGTTTGGTACTAGTGACAACTGTTTGGTACTAGTGACAACTGTTTGGTACTAGTAACAACTGTTGGACTTGTAGAATGTGGACCGATCATCTACCGATGGTGCCAACAGTATGGGGGGTGTCAAGCTGCCACACAATGGGCCCCTGTGGACAGGCGATCCGGCGCATGGGTTCTCATTTCTGCGGTGGAAGTTCTGGAGCGAACGGTTGGAGTATACTAGAAGACTTGCAATGGCGATGGAGGGAAACAAGGGCGCTATTTCGGGCGCTGAGAGAAGCGATAAGTGATGTCCTGTCAAAAGTATCAGGGATTCTGTGTCATCGGCATGTTCTTCACACCCCAATTAAACGTTCCAAGTTTTCTTCAGGTTCTTGGAGCATAGATGCAAGATGTAACCCAGCATATCTGTTTGGCAGGCACATAGGATATCATTCTCATCACTATTCATTGTAAGGAACGTTGTTCACCAAAGAAGATGAGGGTGTCATTTTTGTCCTTCACAGAACATCATTGCATCACGTGATGGTATCCAGATATGACTGTTTAGTACTTTCTATACATTCACTGCAGTTAGATTATTCACTACAGCCGAACTTGTGATCTCGATATATTATCGTCGCCTGCCGGCGCTGGATAATGGTTATCCCGGAATTATCTCTTTGTATCCAGGCTACAAATATCCTTCATGAGTTCTCTTCTTCTTGAATCTTTACCAGAACATATCTCACTCCTCTGAAGCTTCTCTATCTTGTTTCAAGCATTCTTATTCTTGTCAACACAAAGGCACACATCAGGTCCATCGCAAGTCATCGAATATGTTGACCAAGCTACCCCCTGAGATAGTCCTGTCTATCGCATACCAGATGGACGCAGCCAGAGACATCAACGCTCTTGCCCAGACATCCAAACGTTTCCACCGGCAGATAAATCCGCATCTCTACCGGTTTGACTGGAAATACCTTGAAGGTTCGGCGTTGATCTGGGCGTCCGATAACGGACTGGAATCCACTGCGCAGAAATCACTCGACGTACGGTCTACATCCCTGCCAGACAACAAGACGCTTTCGATCGCGGAAAGGGCATTCGTGAATGCTACAGAGAATGGCAGATGTGATATAGTCAGGCGGCTTATCACGATCGACAACTTGGATCTGAACGCGAAGGATCCTCGATACTCAACACCAGCGCTGGTATGGGCGGCCGAATTTGGCTATGAAGACATAGTCAAATTGCTACTCGAAACACAACGCGTTGAAATCAACGCAACGTGTCCCCATGGTAGCACGGCCTTGCGAAGAGCAGCCGCATGGCAGCAGGAAGCGGTATTCAAGTTGCTGCTCGCTACACCTAGGGTAGACGCTAATTGCCCCGATGACGAAGGACAGACGCCTCTCTACCATCTGGCGTTCTTTGGTGAAGAATCGCTGATAGATTTGCTACTTGCGAAGGATGGGGTGGACCCCAATCCCCCAGACATTTTCGGCATCACACCGTTGTATGCTGCGGCGGAAGAAGGGCACAAGGGGGTAGTCGATCGGCTCCTGGCCGCTGGCGCAGACCCGGACCCGAAGGCACATGCAACTGGACACTCACCACTGTGGGAAGCGTCCTGTAACGGACACCACGAAGTGGTCGATGTTTTGCTCAAAACAGGAGCTGTGGATGTTGAATGTCGAAGCTTGGCTGATGGCACGGCACCCCTCGCAGTAGCTGCACAGCGTGGCCACATCAAAGTGGTTCAGTTGCTACTTCCCGCCGGCGCTGACCCTAATAGCAAGGACAATTCGCAGGAGACGCCACTATCGAAAGCCGTGAAGGCTGATCGCAGGGTGATTGTGGAGCTTTTACTTGCTGCCGAGGGTGTTGACGTTAACTCTCAATGTGCACTTGGACGGTCACCTCTCTTGCTGGCGATACTCAACAAAAGCACTCCTAACTTGAAAATCATTGAGATGCTACTCGCTGCGAATGCCGATCCCCATCTTCCTGCCAACACCGGATCTACGCCCTTGTCCTTGGCCAGAGGCAACACCAAGAAGTTCCTGGGAGACTGGGGCCAAAGCACCGACACCGCATGAGCGAGGTATCAGAATGGCAGTCAAATTGATTGCAACATCCTTATCAGGTATTGTACAATTTCTCCTCAGGATGCCCCCCTCCAGAGTCTGACATCTTTCTCGGATAGCTTTCACCGCGGTCCTACATGGGTACTGATACCTACCGCTACAACGATGGGCTTTGATGTCGAACGCATATTAGGACAACCAGTATGTATCTGACCTGAACTTTTCCACATATCTTCAAGCCAGAGAACAGAATCTAAGCAAGGGAGATATTTTGCATAGGGCAAGATGTCGTCGCGTCAGATACCACACCATAAACGGATACATGAACCACCGCCACACATCATGTCTTTCTCTCTCTCTCGATGTTTTGATCTGGGCTCAAATTGTCAAACACAAGTTGCAATATTTTGTTTCTACCCTAGAAGTTTGCTCTGGTCTGATTGTTAGCTCATGGAACCATACAATAATGGCATGCAAGTCTCTGTTGAAATTTTCCTGTGTAGACTGAACCTCACGAGAACAGCAACAAAGAAATAGAGGAACACTCCTGTGCTACGAGCCAAACCATAGTTCTCTATATTGTAAGTATCTCATTTTTATTTCTCTTAAGAGGTGGACTTCTTGACGATGGCCGCTAATGAAAGGAGCACACCGTTCGTTTCTTGTTTCTCAATAGGTATAAAAGACCTTTAATGCCGAATTGCATGACTATCTTCACACTCACTCACCATTTGAAATTCTGTCTAACCAGCTAGGAACTATCACCACACATAAATCCACCACAAGATGTCCAACGCAACAGACCCCGACCGCCCAGTGGCCGAGGCCATCGCCGGCCACGTATCCTCCGTGCTCGACCGCGCTGACATCCATCATATTCTCTGGGGTCAACTGGCCTTTGTTGTCTACGGTGCGAAGTTCTCCTGCAACAATATTGACTTCGTCGTGCAAGAAGCTGACATGACCCGGGCAGTCAACAACCTACTCACCGCGGACTTTGTGCCCGTGACGGACAATGCTCGCTGCAGCTACTATCGAATCCCTGCGGAGTCGCATCACGAGAAGGTCTTCCACGTCGACACTGCCAACATCAATGGGGAGCGGACCCACTTCGACGTGCGCTTGTTCCCCATGCGCTGGGCGCTCCCCGGCAATCGCGAGATCGGCTACCGTGTCATATTCGACCACCTGGCGCGGCGCGATCTGATCCTGGCCACCGATGAACGGCTTCCGGGAGCCTTCCGGCACGAGCGGTACCCCGTGCGCATGCTCGGCCCCGTCCATTACCTCCAGTCGATGCTCGCGCGTTATCTGACTGCGGGCTGGGGGCGGACGCTCATCCGGCGATTCGGGGTGGAGTGTATCGAGCCCCTCCTCGTGGAAGAATTCACGGAGGAGGGCTTCGATGCCACCCTGATGCACTCTGCTTACGAGATGATGTATAGCGCCATCATGACAATAGACGATGAGGATGAACTGAAGCCGGTGGCCATGCAGGTTCGGGCAGAGTTTTGGCCTGAATCGTGATCGAAAGTCTACTGTTTTGTAGAGGGTTGTCTGTTAGGTAAATCCAATTGAGGATTCTTCCAAATATCTTCGGTTTGTTCTTATGCAGGTCGCAAGAGTATTAGCATGGGTAACTTCTAAGTACTGTAAGCGGTTGGACGTGCGACAGTGTATGCATACCGAATGCCAGTTCCAACCGTTCTGTCGCCCCTCGTGGCCACTGGGAGCATGAGAGCTCAGTAGTGCCTAATGTCTCCTGAGAGATAAGTGTGAAGAACTAGCGATATAGTAGATCTCAGGCTCATTACTACCTATATCTCTGACATGTACACAACGGAGATATCAATTTCTCTTGACAAAGATAGGAATAGACACAAGTGAGCATGTAACAGGAACCCAATGAACATTCAAACCAAAGACCTTCCCTCTTTCAACAATACCACCTTCCCTCAAAGCAGTGTCCGGCTTTGCAGCCCTCACACAGTGACCTGATGTGGGGACCGTGACTCTCACCACTATACACCGGGGCTTCCATCTCGACTCCACTCCATTTCTTCAAGCGATACGCAACCCGCTCCGTGTACGAGTCATCAAAAATCGGCCGGCTGAGCCGCTTGCATTCCTGGCAGCGCTAGTGGTATACTCGTGCATTGTATTTGTTTCCAGTATACATTCGAATGGTGATCGCGATTTTCTTGCTAGACCACCCCGTCGAACCGCATTTATCGTTAGGACAACTGAATCTGCCCATTATATTCGTGTCATATGTGTGGAGCGCAAAGTCATGGTCCTTCGAGTGGAAGCGAGAATCCAGGTCGAATTTTTCCAAGAGGGCCGTCACTTCGGACTGGAGGGACGGATACATTGACCATCGCTGTGTCGATTTGTGCTTTCTGCCTGACATGGTGAATGGGCTTCATGTCTTTGATGGTAATAGAGAGCGAGAGCAGAATTGACAAGCAATGCGTGCCATGTTAGGTATTGTCATAATTGCTCCTGTCGAGTGTCAAGGTGCCCCTCATATGACGCCCAGCTGGGTCTGGGTCGCCATCACAATGGCGTAAGTCCCAGATTTACAAAGATGGAGCCTTTATTTAGCCTCTTTTGGTTGTACCAGATCATATCATGCTTGGGTCTACAATTGCTAGCAATCAATATGGCGGTGACCTCGCTCGGTATCTCCTGGGCCTGGTCTCGACGCCTGGCAGGCCCTGACGACCGATGACAATCTCTGCGGTTCCATCAGATTAGTTTGCTGTAAATATCCATCGTTATATCATCTATCCTTGTTCTTAGTTCTGGCAGCGTGGATGGCAATTGTTCTGAAATTACAGATGCCAACCACCTGCAGTTGGCATCGGTGACTCCTTCTCGCGTAACCTTGATCGGTTTCCCGATCGGATTAATGGAGGATTCACCAGTAATTTCAAGGCAGACTAAACAAGGACAAAAGGTAAAAAAGATACGAACCCGCGGCTTACATGCGAATGGATTCCGAATTCGGGGGCGGGCTCCAAATTGTATATCAAATGCATCATTGGGTTTGATAGAACTGATTTTTCGGGAACAATAGGAGATTTAGGCTGTATTTGAGGTTGAACCAGAACCATTGATCAGCTAGGATTTTCCTGAAAGGGATAATTCAACTGAGAAAAGAATGATATCATGCTTATGATTTTGAGATCATATCAAGAGATAACAATGGTAATGAAATAAAGTGAGATTATTTCAAGGAGTAAGGTATCCAGAGAACAATAGGGCCTATTCAGGATCGATAATGCTTAAAATGGCAGGGCAGGTGGGTGCAATGACCACCCAGATAAAGATAATCAGTTCCTATGAGCAAGTAGGCTTCACCCAAAAGCAGACTGATCAAAGTATTAAGGTATAAGTGAATGATGGGCTTTAACAGTAGGCTAAAAATGGTATCTTGATCAAGATAAGATGAGGTTATCAGATAAGATTAAGATCAATAAAGATGGTAAGGTGGCCGAGTGGTTAAGGCGTTGGATTTAAGAGCGACGTTTGTCACCTTGAAGTTCCCCAATGACGAGAGTCTCCAGGGTTCGAACCCCTGTCTTACCATTGTTTTTAGACCTCACCGCCCCCACTTTTTCTGCCGGCAGTATACCATTCCCTCCTGCTTTGCGCCAAGACAGTTCAATTCAATGCTGATTGACAACAGCAATAATTCCAATGCAGCCGGTGTTAAACCACTTTGAGTAGGCGGTAAAGCAGTTCCGGCCTTTTCCGGGGTCCGCGGCCCTTCTTGGGCTTCCTCTTCTCTGTATACTCTAAAAATCCCAATAAAAAGAATTAACAAAAGACTTTCTAATTTAGATCCTATTGACAATACTGCCAATCATATGGGCATGTTGCAACCTCAGGTTCGCCAATTCGTGATTTGAATTTCCGAGTTCCAGTGACCTTGCAGTAGGGTAAAAGGTCCAGAACAATCAATCTTTATTCATCCTATTGTTCCTATTCAATAGGATTCATTGATTTTTCAACTTCTATGTGTTATTCATGTGTTTTTCATATGATTGCGGAAAACCTTGGAATAATGAGATAGCTATTCATCTATAAATAAGAGATCAATTCCTATTATCTTTTGAATCAGTTCAAGCAAGCAAGTGACCCACTCAATCTGATTGACCTTGTTAAACTATTTGACCCCGAATAATTCAACCAGATCTATTTATTTATTCAAGCTATTTAGTTTTTGTCAACTATATAGCCAGTTGGTAGCCTCAGGCTCGCTAGTTCGCCACCTCAGGCTCTCCAGTTCGCTGCCTCAGGTTAGCCAGTTCGCGGAGTGGATTTCCGAGTTCCGGTGACCCCTCAGTGGGGAAAACGGCCTGGAACAATCTTCTTCTATTCATCCTATTGTTCCTGTTCAATAGGAATTTATTCATTTATTTACTTTCATGTGTTTTTCATATGATCGCGGAAAGCCTCGGAAAATCAATATGGCTATTCAGCTATAAATAAGAGGTCAATTCCTTTTGTTCTTTTAGTTAGTTGAAAAAGTAGTTTCAGTTCAGTTTCAGTTTAATTCATTCAATTTATTCAGTTCAATCAGTTTAATCAGTTACTTATTCAAGAAATTGATTTTATCTATCTTTTACTTTACTTTTACTTTCACTTTACCCCTTACTTAAATTTTGTATGGAATCCCATATAAAGTTTGAGTGAAAAGTAAGGTTTTATTAAAGTGGAAGTGAAGGTATTCAGAATTCTTCTTAGTTTTATTTATCTTTTATTGGTCTCTTACTTCCACTTTATCTTTCACTCAAACTTTATATGAGTTTTCATACTATCTTTGAGTGAGAAGCGAGACTTTAGGTAAAGTTAAGTTGAAACTTTCAAAATCAGTTAAATACCTTCGGCCCAAACCAACTCTAATGATTCTAGTGTACAAAGTATTTTAGTTAAGATACAAGTAGATCTAATATCGTTGTCAGCTGTATAGAAAAGACTTCTGGTCTCAATATTACATTTCCCATGCTCAGGCCAACCCAGGTAATAGTTTACAGCAGATACCAGCCGCCATTCTCTGTGCACAATTATTACCCTCTTCAGCATATTGCTTCAAAATCCTGCCGGCAGAAGAAATTGACTTGTTCTAGGCTTTACTACCCTGCTTATTTGGAACTGTACTTGGATACTTGCTTGGAGAAATGCTTACAAAGGTGCTATAAAAGGTGCTTATATCCCTAATCAAGAATTCGCAAGTCATAGAGTC